GGGGGTGCGGAATAAAAAACACACCTAGGCGTGAGGTGTGCCTACCAATCTCAAAAATAAGGCTGGCGCGCTAAAAAAGCTGTATGCCACATAGTGATAAATTGAGGCTTTCCTTGTCTGATTCTTTTTCAAACTCCACTTCAAGCTTTCTTCTCATCATCAACCTCATCATTCTAATCCCAAAAAGCAAAAAATAAAATAACAAGGCTCATCAAACAGCTCCACAAACCAAAATGATTCTCCCCTCAAGTGGCTGCGGTAATTTTTCCACTTTTTTCATTTTTTTTATTATTTTTTTATTTTATTTTTTTGCACTGTGAGAAGACGCACCCAAGGGCGCCCATTTCTCAAAAAACACACCTAGGTGCACCTTTCTTTTCAAGGGCCGTGCCCCCATCCTGAGCCCAGGTGGATTCAGTACCTAGGGTAGGGGGCTTAAGTACATAGCTTGAGCTCCTAAGTACCTAGCCAATACCTGGGCCCAAATTTTGCCCATCTAGTGAAAAAGGAATTGCCCCATGCATCAGACAATCACAAGAATATATGGATAGATGATTCTACTGGTACTGTCATTAACTTGTGACATTGTCATTGAGGTAATGATTTTTGAGCTCAACATCAAGTTTATGTTTGGCTGGTTGGAAGGTACAGTGGGTCTCATCAAAGCCCAACTACCCGCGCCCGCAAAGCAAAATTTCATGTTCGAGATGAATTATACACACCTCATAATTACATAGCACACATTTTAATAAGCTTAATGGGCTCGGGGGACCTATCTCATTATAATCCTATGAGGATGGACGCGTGCGAGGCAAAAAAAAAATTTTTTTTAGACATCTGGGCAATATTTCGAACCGAGCACATTTAAACACATCCTTAGGCTTACTATATGGGTACCAAAGGGTAATATATGGCTTTAAACTTGGTAAAAGTGGGTTCCTGAAGCGGAATCCAACCCCAGACCACTCAAATCGCATGGTGAAAATGACTTTTTTCACTGATTTTCGAGGTCCTCAGAGGCCAAAATTTCAACCCCCCCCTACGGGGGGGGTAGTTGGGCTTTGATGAGACCCACTGTAGTACACACAAGGCTGGACCACTACACTACTCAATGCTATCCGGACCTATTTGGATAGTGTATATGGGGAAAGCTACCAGAATAGCTCACTAACGCTATTATGATGACTGCACACTAACACTGATGTCGAGGCATAACTTGTAAACACTAACATAAAAATACTCATTGCAATAATGTAGCTTTATTCCGCTAAAATAACGCAATAACAGCTAAAATAACGTCAAAAATACTATCAATCAACTTTACTGTAGGCCAAGTCAGCAAGGGCTTGTAATTGAGCCCATTGAGCTCCATTCAATCTGACACCTCCGTGCAGCCACATTTGGCTTCTAACAAGTCTTTCAATGTTTGTTGGTTGAAGTGATCCTCAATCACTCGCACAAATATCAGCAGCATCTGAAAAGGTCACACGCTCTGCTGGAGCCAATGATCCGCAGTGAGCAAGATAATCAAGAGCAAGTGAGGCAAGAACTGGGTACTTGGTTTGCTTGTTCTGTTTGAAAAAAAAGGTAAGTACTGAGAGAGAAAGAGCAAGTCTTCAAAAGATGAACTTACCTTCCGCCAAGCAAGAATGCTATGAGGATCATGAGATTGATCCTTGGGTATGAAGTCTTCATCCTTAAAGTAAGATTCTATTTCATTGACATCTGTATTTTTAGTTTTCTTTGAAGTTTGATAGACTCAAATGTGATTTTGAGTGTGAGTGGAAGGAGTGTGAGATGTCACTGTCCGATCAGTTGGATACACGGCATTCCATCAAGGATTTTCACCTCCAGGAGGTGATGATCTGATTCTAGTGCAGGGGCACGCTAACTAAAGCTAACAGCTAACATTTGATCTGAGGGACTGGTAACATAGATGTAAAGATCCATCTAACGCTACAAACATAGTGTGGCCACATAATGATGTGGTAAGATAGATCATCACATCTAACGGGTAGTATTGGTGTAGATATACAAAAAAACTATGCTATACATTACCCTAACACTTTTGTAGCGTAATTGGTCCAGCGTTGGTACACATACTATACTTACTATATGGCAAATAAAAAACGTGACACTTGTATCACATTGCTCAATTGATACAAGCCAATACAATAAAGCAGAGTAGAATTACCATGACTAGTATTGCCAATACCTGTACGGTCCTTGGTTGGATGAACCAATATGGGAAAAGCCTACTTTTAGTATTGGTTTGGCAATACAATACCAATATAATACCAACATTTGGATTGGTTTGAATGTTGCTCCCAGTGATGCAATCACTTATCAGCACCTTGCTTCTTACATATCCAGCTTACATTGGTAAAAAGAAACCCAACACTTTTTTGGCTTTACATTCACAAATTAATTCTTTCATATTTGAACAAGTCCTTAGTACTTCAACTTACTTTAGAGTTTTGAGTAGTGTGAGAATCCCAGAAAGACTTTAGAAGAATGTTTAGGGACAATGTTGTCTGAACAATCCGGCTGGTTCTTGCATATTCTAGAGTTCCGCAGGATTACTGGGTGGCACTGGGCACATGCAGCTAAACCTCATTTCAATTGACACTTGGTATTTGGTTCTGGATTACTGTGGGCCAAACTTGGAAATTATTTTGAAAACATTCTGAAAACATATTAAAGTACCCAAATGACCTGGCCTGCCAGTGACTTGTAATCTGATGCTGTTGCTTGAGGTGGTGTACCTGTGTTATCTTTATGGTCAAAGAAAGGAATTCTGGGGTATTTTTAGCACATGGTGGAAAAGAGGTGATCTCTGATGAGATGGCTCATTTACTAGCTGCGTGAGCAGAACATTGCTTACTTCTACCTCTGGTGAGACAGCCAGAGAAGTAGAGATCAATGATTTCTTATTGCATGTAGGAGCCATTAATCTTATCCATGTGTTAAGATTCGGAGAGCTGCATCATTTCATGGGTTGCTTGATTTATCTATTTGGTCCTTGCTTGTTTGTGTTTGTTGCACTCAAAGCATTTAGATGGGCAGCAGGGTTTCCAATGTTGTTGTTTAACATTTTTCTTTGTGTTTTCAGAAGAACAGAGTACTGTACAATAGCCATGTTCAAACCAAACCTGTTTGACACAAAAACCTGGTACACCCAGTTGTGTTTTTGTTGGTAACTTTGTGTATCTATTGACAGCTCTTGACAGCTTCCAGCCAAATAGTTGACCGGGGGTGTACCAGGTTTTTGTGCTACCAGGTTTGGTTTGAACACGGCTAATAAACACTATGATGTGAACTGGAGGTTTTCTAGCAAGGTGATTTTTGATTAGATTGTGATAGATACAACACAAAGGACAAGTAGAGAAGCAGGAAATTTGAACAAAAAAATATGTACAGGCGACAGAAGACAGACACAGCTAGCTTTTGGACTTCTTAGGATATATTTGATACATTCTCAATATTTTGGCTATCAAAAAGTGAAATGGTGTATTCAAAATTCACTGACTATTACTGTGGGAGATTTTATTGACAAAAGAAGTTGAATAACAAGAGATCAAGTGGAATAATGGATGAGGGGAAAAACTCCCAGAATCTCATTTGTGGCCTCTTTAAGATCTCCAACACTGGGCATTGTGATAACAAAGAGAGCATTTTCTTCAAATGAAAATGTCGTACCCTGTCTAATCAGGTCTTGGATCACTTCTAGCCTTCTGAATTGTTCCAACTGGGTTAATCAAACAAGACCCTTAGTTCTTTTTATGTCACAATGTTTGACAAGGAGTTTCTGCTGAGGTGCAAGTAGAATGTGCTACCCAGACATGTGGACACCACCCACCTTTGCCGTGCCTCCTGCCAAAAACTACAATTGCTCAAAGAGCAATCAGAATATCATGTTTGAAACTGAGACTCTAATTTTTTTTCCGACTCCGGTTACGCTTTGGCACCACTTTTCATAAAAAAAGCTCAACCAACCAGCTTGGCCGCCTAGCTTGACAAAATGTTTGTGACAAGCTTTGTTGAAACTACTGTGTAATCATTTTCTCTCCTGTTTGTACTCCACTAGGTTGTGAGGTTGATGGTAATTCAACCTTCACTGGGTTCTCTATTCTCGGAGGCCAAAGCCAGACAGAACAATCACCCAGTTATATTTCCTGAATAAAGTCTGAAACACCAAGCTATCAAGCCAAGAGACTAAAGAGAAAGAGGAAAGAGGTCCTCAAGAGAAAAAGAAGAAAGGAAGGAGGAGTTGCGCTCCTAAATATCCTTCTATCTACTAGTACTACTGTCGTAACACTACGTAAACCCAAAACATATTGTACTCTATCCCCATACTCCTTCCTCACAAAGGTATTTGCTGAAACTTTCTCTTGATTGTCTTATCAGGTCGTGGTCAAACTTAACAAAGCCCCTCGCCACAGGGCCGAGGCTGAAGGGTTTGGCGAGGGACTTTGTTAAGTTTGGGTCGTGGTGAGATTTGGCACATGCAGTTAGCTTTGAGCCTCAGCCCCATGATCCTCCCATCAGCTCCCATCGCACCGTAGGAGTGATCTTATCACACCATTGTATGTACCGATGGTGTGAATGGTTTCACGGTCCGCAGATGCACTTACACGTTTCCGGCAGAACAACAGGACGCTATCTGTTGCTTCAGGTGATTCAACGAGCCCAATTAGGGATTCAATCAAACATGTTCAGAAAAATTCAAATCACGAAACCTTTTATCGGATGAGTGGGGATCTTTCATCCTTTATCTGATATCAATTCTGTTATCTCAGCTCGCACCACCATATCTCAACCCACGATAAAGCTACAGCTCAAGATAGCACGTCGGCTTGCGCTTCCGAGTGTATGATCAAGATGTCAAACGCTGATTCCGTTGGGCCGCGGATTGCCTCAGTCATCCCATTCATGTCATTACATCTTAAGCTCATCATCCATCACATTTCAGCAACCACCGCCCTTAGAATACGTACGCAATGGGATCTCCTATCAAGCTTTCTCTGTGGTTTGCTGTCTTCGTATCGCTGTTGATGCTTTCAGGCCATCCTTTACAAAAGCTTCCCCAGCTCACTCCACAAAGATGGCTCAGTACAGATAGTTCAATACCCCATATGTTCCCAAACTTAGAAAGTAAGAAGAACCAAAGTTTCTTCCAAGAGACGCGACACGAGATTGATGTCAAAGTGCTTCCCCTGCTTCACATGTTTTTCACTCGCACCTTCTAGGTACTGTGAAGCCGGTAAAGGGGCCCACTGCTCTTGCTCGTGGTACGACGGGAGCTACAAAATTGCGGGCCTCGTCATCCTCAACTAGCACAGCCGGTGAGTCTTTGCGAACTCAAGCATCGTCAATGAGAATACCAGCCATTTCCATCCTTGTACACACTCAAAGTGCGAAATGCGTCATCCTGCTTCGAATCCCTATTCTGCTTCCGCGTACTTCATGGGCCCAACGGCGCGCAGCGTATCCATACTGATTGCTCGGATGTTCCACAAAAACAGACAAAGTCGAAATATTGACGGTCCCATCACCGTTAACCTGGGATAGTGGCTTCGGAGGAATAACTGAAGATCAACATGTGCATCATCTTATCCAAGATATTCAAACTGTAATGTATTATGATGAGTCCAAGGGATTCACAGACAAAAATCGAGTCTTGATCGATAGGATTTCGGGATACATTTTTTCTGAGAAAAGTAAAGACATGCGACGTGGTGTTGAGGCAGCCATCGAGGGACTATACGTAATATCTCAGAACCGTAGACTGTCTTCCTATACAGTATCATATACCAAGAACATCATCTACGACCTCTTGATCAAGAGGCACAATATCTGGGCAGAAGATCTGTCATGGCAAACATATTTCAGTCTAGGTATGTAGAAAACTCTTCCATTACTTCGCCCTTGTCAGTGTGTGTGGATTATCTCAACTCACGCGTACGTGATTTCTTTGAAAACTTGCAGTCAGTCACGATGCAAGAAGCCGATTCACCCAATGTCAGTCTTCTTTGGCAACGATGGCTTGAATGAAAACAACCCGCTTTAAAGCTGACTCTTCATTCTCTTTCACATTTTCGCGGGAAACAAGTTGATAACATTTCACATTTCCAGCAATTTCTAAGGGGCCGCCTAGACTGCAAAGAGATTCATACATTCCTCGGGGCGGTTTTGAATAGCGGAAAGTTTGATGGTGAAGCTACTTGGCGATTTATCCAGAAAACCTTTGATCAACGACAATCTTTAGAAGTTATGGCCCAGAAGTCAATCAACGGTAAAGCCGCTCTGGATCAGATCACAAATGATTCTTGGGAACTATGGATTCCAGCATTCGTTATGGCGACAGGTGTAACGAAAACTCACGAGAAGGAGCTCTTGCATCTCCTTCGTGAATTCTCTCAATTGACTCCTGCTGAGACTTCTGATACGTTTCTGACTTTGAGGAACAATGGTAAGTAATATTTGCATATAGTAAATCTGATGGGGCATCGGATTCACTGATCTATCACGGTTGGTTCTTAGAAATCAAAATTATGGCCCAGAGAGCATGCGTGGTTTTGGCAGAACGGTCTGAGAAATTAAAAGCATACTACATCTATTCATGTAAGTGATTGCAAACATGTCTATGAAGCAAAGAAATAACTGAACAAATGAACATCTTAGTGCAAGAGTCCGCGAACGAAGTCTTGAACAAGAATAAGAATCTTGGGGTAGGGATCAAGGATATGGTGGCAGAATTTACCCAGGATTCCGGTCTCCTACAAACAACATGGAAGAATGAACTCAGCACGTCGGCCCAGCTGAACTTCATGACAGATCTTCGCTATCAGAATCGAATTCACCTCCTCGTAGAACTCGCTACATCGCGTATACTCGAAAAAGGTCCAGAAGTTTCTCATGACCTACTTTTCAAGGACGTTTTGAATACCTTAAAACATCAAAGGCAGCTCCCCATACCGGTTCCAGATCGACAGATGTTTCTTGCCAACGCATTGCGGAAACTCTCACAAATAATATCTTACAACAGGCCTACAACCACGGTTCACCCGCAAAGTGCTAGAAGATGATCTATACCAATCATACCAACACATTTTGAAATTTAGATTTCACTGGGCCCATTTAAGAATTGGCAAAGTGGAGGAATTTTTACAATCGTTTTCCTAGACTTTTTTGTTCAGACGACCTTTCTTAAATATGTATGTAATTTAAATCAATGATATATAGACAAACTTTTTCTTCAAAGTTGATGTCTCCCGAATCCATCGTTGAGTTTGTATCACATTCATATAAACATCCTTGACGGTAAGCTAGATGCTTTAGAATTTTAGTTCTTATTCATATACGAAAAGTAAATAATTCAGTGTTTGCAATGTTTCTATGGCCTCTACTTTCTACTGTAACACACAAATATATATGCTATCAACTCAGTCTCTGTTCGGAAGAAATGTTTTTTGAAACAAGTAGTGCGATGAGAAAGCTTAGCCCAAATCAGTTGCAGCACAGTACAATCTCTCCAAATACCAAGAACCATTATGAAAATTATGAGCAAGTCAATCAAATCAGTCTTCCCCTCCATAACTTCGTTCGCCATTTTCCTATAACATAGCATCACTTCATGCGGTGATAGTCCCTTTGAGGATTTGACATCTGCATCTCACATTTGCCACCAATGGCTGTGTGTGCACTACAAATAGCATTTCTTGACAAAAAAACGTTGGATTGAATCCGAGTCAAACTTGTACTATGTAAACATAGAAAACTTGACTAAGTCCCATTGTGCCGGGGTTTACAAGCGGTCATATGAACCCCGGCTGCTGGGACTAAGCAACATCGATGGTTTCAAGTCTACACCAGGTTCTTTTTTCTTGAAAGCTCGAACAAGTTTTCAAAAGTTTTTCTTTCAGAATTTGTAATCGCAGTGTTCCAGGTGTTGAAATTTTTTGCGTATGTTTTACAATTGGTGATAAGTTCTGTACCGTAAAGATGACTTGAAAAATCCTAACTGGGGACCTCACTCTTCATGTAAGACTCAACTAGAATGAACAAAATCTCAAGAAATATGCGATTCAATTCCTTTATTCTTACACACTTCAAACTTTTCCAAGCATTCAAAGAACAACCAATTGTAAAACAAACAAGAAATTTTTCCAAGAAACATGATATATATAAAATAATCATCATATGAGCAGATATGTAGCTAATTAAATCAATAAAAACAATCTTTCAAAGTTTTCATAAAGAAGCGCACCGATGGTATAGAGACATATCCAGTTTATCGTACACAGAAAAAATAACAAATCCAGAAAAGACAACCAAATAAAAATCATACTCAATCAATGACCAGCTACTTTATCAGCCCAAGTTCTATTTATCACTTGATGAGGTTCTAGTAAGATATAAGGAAACATGATACAAAATAAGCAATCAAATCACATTCAACAAAAAAACAAAACAAAATTTCACTCACCCTTCATGGATCTTCTTCCACCACCTACAACACGTTCCGTTGTTCTTGATTTCTCATTTAAAGAACTTGTTCGAGCAAGTTTGTGCGAAGAAGTAGAGCCTCCACTGGAACCAGATTTAGAATTCACATTTAATTGTAAATCTTCATTTGATTTCATTTTAGCATGGTGATTCCATTTACCCATCGAACGTCGTGATTGTGGATCACCATGACCCTTGACCATCCCAGAAGAACTTTTTCCCATAAATTTCTTATTATTAGTATTATTAGATTCATTAGATTCTGCATTCAATAACTTTTCGACTTCTTCTAATTCATTTTTGATCTCTTCAAGTTCTAAATCGATTTCTTTAAGTTTACGATCTTTCAAATCGCTTACCCTTTTAAAACTTTCTTCTACTTTTCTCTTTAATGATCGATTTTTATCTTTGAATTCCATCAACTCTTTCGCTTGTCTTTTTTCACTTTCTTCTAATTCAATTTGTTTTTCCATTATCTTGATCTCATCTACTTCAATTTGTCTTTCTAATACCCAAAGTGGTGTGAATCCTTCGATATTCATGGGGTCTCCTCCACTTTCTTTCTTACCACTACTACCATTATTATTGTTGTGTTGTCCATTAGCTGTAGATGGTCTTCTTTTTTTCTCTAATCTTTCTAAACTTTCCAATCTATTTGATTTGACTAGATTCTCTTCATCTAATCTCTTGATAAATTGTTCAACATTTACCAACTTTTGTCTCAACTTCAAGTTTTCTTTGACAGTTTTGTTCAATGCTTTTGTCATTTGATTGATTGATGAAACTAATTTTAATTCATTATGCTTTGAATTATTTTCAGATGTTTTTACCACTGTTTGTATGTTTCCTTCTCGGTCTCTACCATTTGTTCGTACTGGCGTTGATGGCTGAATACTTGAAGAGGTTCGTGGACTAGGTGGTTGTTGGGATGACTCAGGGTTATAATCCAAGGAAGAATGGGATGCATGAAGACTACGCGAGGCGCGGGGAGAGGCGGGATCATGGGATGTATAAGGCGGAGGTGGACCATCTGGATCGAGTTGAGTTATGATCGGTTCGGGTTTCGTATCGTTCGTTCTTTCACCTGAGTCCAATTTAAATTAATATTAGTTCTAATGTCTTTATTCCAACATACATACATCCAGATACATTTTCGAGACCATCCACAGTTATATAAATGATGAAAGAGATTATCGTCGGCAGTTACCTTTATTTGGTTGTTCATGAAGGTTAGTCTCGGAATCGAAAATACTTTGGATTTCTTGACCGCTTTCGATTGAAGGATCCAAGCGTCCACATAAGAGTCCTTCATGCTCGACCGACTCCTCCGACGTTTCTTCTAGATCAGATGAACCTGATAAACAGTCGTGTTTGTGATGTTCTTGTGTTAAAGGTATTAGCTCTAGCTCGACCTCGTATTCAAGTCCAGGTTCAAGACCGTGTATGACCAAGGTGATGTTCCGATGACCCCTTGACCATTTGAGTTCGGATTCAGATGAAGATTGTTCGCAGCTTGGACTAGTCGGTGGAGTATCTTCCAAAACAGATCCAATCACATCACTCTCAGCATAAGCCACCTTTTCCCAAATAATTCCATTTATCTTGACAGCTAAAGAGATAGGAGCTCGAAGAGAGATATCATCAAGTTGATAAGAAACATCCAGTGAGATGGCAGTAGAAGAAACATCGATGACGTTCAAGTTACTTCGAATCCTTGATTTTCCTCTCGGATCGTTTTCATCTTCTTTTCCTTCTTCTTCTTCATTCGGATTATTATCATTGTTAGATTGAGATTCGAAACGATTGCTTAAACCATTCGGTGGAAGCCAAGGTCTAATAGATTTCCAATTTTTGCAATCCGATGCTTCAGTCATATTAAAGTCTCATATATATAATAACTTTTAAGCTTTGAATTTTCTTGTGGCCACTATTGCGTAAGGTTTGACTTTGTTTTGTTTAGTTCTTCTTATTCAAATCAAGTCGGAAGGTTATTGATAAGTGCTGATAAGTGAGACAAGCGAAGAAGTCAACTATCAAGGTGCTTTGATGCCAATCTTTTTTTCCTTTGGCACCCGACCCCGTGCTAAGGCTGGGTGAAAAATTACGGAGCCATTACAATGCAGTCACGTGTTATGTAAAACTTAACCAAGTCTTATCCCGTCTCGTCCTCGCGGCTCACCTCACAAGGTGTCAAAAGAGTGAAGAGACACTTCAATGTCAAGTTTTTGGCATCAGACTATCATGGTTAGCAGAAAATATTTCTTCAGTCCATTTTGAGGGCTCCCAACCTCAGAAATCCACTTCCAGCCAACTGGGCCTTCTTCAGATGCTTAGATGTGTTGGTATGTGAATTGTTCAGTACAGCTTCCATATATCCAACTCATGGATACATCCAAAGTTGTTCCTTTTCTCACACAATTTTATTCAAGCAACCGGGAGTTTTCTTCATCTGAAAACCTACTTGAACAATTAAAACTCAATGTACGTCCTTCTGCTGTTGATCTAATTTATATCTTCAATTGTACATTTTCTTTTGGCGCTTAATTGCCACAATGAAGCTGTTGTAAAGACTTGGTAGTTAAAGACTTGGTAGTCCATGGCAAAAAGAAAATCAAAAGAAGTTATAATTCACAATTTTACAGCGGACTGATTTAGGCAGTCTGTGCAATAAGATGGAAAAAAATGTCCAACATACTGCAATGTGTTCAGCAACCCCACCAGCTCCATACTTCCGTGCTGCCAAGTGTGATTTGTAGAAATCAGATTTGGACTTGAGCTCACCTTCTTAAGCTCTTCTTGTACAAAAAACCATTTGGCTTCACTTGAGCCAAGACTAATAGAAATCACATGGTATCTGCAGTGATCATCACCACATGAGTCTGACACCAATTCTACATATTCATGAAGCCAAGGAGGTACACACTTGTCCTATGAGATCTGGCATCATCAATAACCATCAGGCACAGTTGCACATGTTTTGAATGGGATGTACACACTTTTTTGGTGGGGCACGTGCACATTGACTGTCAAAGATCACTTATTGAAGCGGGATTGGCCACTTGTTGTCTAGTTGATCTACAAAGGTTCAAGTCATTCTGAAAGTCAGCAGAACCAGAGTTGGACAAAGGCTTCTGCCTCTGATTATTAATCTCCAAAATGAGCCAACAAGGCTTGTGATGTGAGAAAGCACTTCTTGGTTTAAGATGGGAGTACTTTTGAAATGTGCTTTGGTGGAGTATTGGTGAGCCTGGAGTGGTTTTGTCTTTCTGAGTCAGGTGTGAACATGGTACAAGCTTTCCAATTGGAAGCTTCCGTCCCCATTGTTAAAGGCACCAGATGAGGGTGAAAGTGTTATGGTGGGTTCCATCTTTCCCGAGTCAATAGAAGCTGGCTTTGAAATAGGTTGTGTGTTAGTGTAAGTAAAGAAGAAAAATTGGCCAGTTGGCCAGGGAGGTAACTCACCTCAGGGAATGAATGTTTTGGACTGATGGTTGGTGGAGGCTACCAAATACATATGTCTGTCAATATCTTGAACTCATAAATTACTCTCCAAAATAAAAAGTAAGAAGGAGGGGAGGTTGTGTTGCTAGCTGACAAAGGTCTTGGTGTCTTCCAACTTCAAAAATCCTTTTCATAAGTTGAAAACCATACTCGTAGCTTGAAAAAAAAATTGTAACTCAAAAACTTTTTTGTAACTCAAAAACCACACTTGTGACTTGACAAATCTTTTTTGTAAGTCAAAAATCATACTTGTTACTTGAAAAATATTTTTTGTGACTTGAAAACCACACATGTAGCTCAAAAAATGAATATGCAGGTACCATAAATGTGGTGCCTACAATGTTTACAGTCTGGGCAGGCGCCAAAACAGATGTAGGTGATAGTTTTCTAGCGCCCTCATCTCAAATCCGGCAAAAATAGATGCAGGCGCTAGTTTTCTGGCGCCTACATCTCGTGTAGGCGCCCTTTTTGAGTTCCTACCCAGGCGTATGGTGTGGGTGGTGTCTAGCAATTTCCTTACTAAGTGAATAAACTAACCATGGTCAATCATTCATTGATTGCTGCCAAAGACTGATCATGTGAATCTGCTTGATGTGGCTGAAAAGTGCATAGTGTAGGAATGAGGGTTAGTTTCTGTTGGATGAGTAAGGCCATGCGGGCATGTTTGTACCTCACAACCAATTGGTTTATGATTGTGAGTTAGGTTTTGGATGTGAATTGTCCAGTTGCCAAGTTGAGGTAAGTTTGATTTATTCCCATTAAGTGCTATTTCTTGAAGGTAATTGGGAACTGTAGAAGGGAGGGCACAGGAAATCTTGAAGGCAAATGAGCAATTTGTTTTGCGGGAGCTTGGAATAAGCAAACATTTGTTTCCTGATTGATGGCACTTGTAACATATACTGATATCTTCTGATGATTGGGTGGCGATTTTGTATCCATTTGCAGCTGTGTGGGCTTTGATCTTGGTCTGCATATTGGCAAGGGTGGTGGTGAAAAGGTTGTGGGGGAATGGTTGAAGGCTAGGACAGTGGTTGGAGATAGAGATGGTAGAGGACATTGGAGATGAGGCTGGTTGGTTATTGAGGGGGTAGATGAATGTTGAGGTTGCCTTGGTGCAAATGATTCCTGAGGAGAATGACAAGAGTTGAAGAGTTGATTTGTCAGTGGGGTGTGGTTAGGGGTGGGTCAGGGTATCAGGGTATGAAAATGTACAGACATTGTAGATAGTTATGACTGGGGTGGTGAATGTTGGTGGATATGTTGGAAAGGGTGGTGAGTATATATTGATACAGTGGTGTTTGTATTGATAGACGGGGCATGGTAGAGTTGGGTGTTGTAGATGTGCTGAAGGGTGGTCAGGTTTCAATGTAGGGACCATGAGGGTGGTTGGATTTTGTTAAGTGGGTAGAGAAACAATCAAAGGGCGGTTGGATTTTGTTACGTGGGTAGAGAAAAAGTCAAAGGGTAGTGGACTTTTGATGACATGGTGGGGTGTATTTTGTGAGGACGCACAGCTGGTCTTGGTCTCCTCAGGGGAGATGTTGACTTAGCCAACTTTGTATCCCCTCAAGATGCTTCTTGGGATGATGATTCATCTTAACAGTAGAAGTCAAATCCCATTGGGTCATATGTCAGTCTGTATGGCCCTATGTATATACATGCCTACATGTACAGGGGAATTTTGGGTGGGGAGGCAAAAAAAATGAGAAAAGTTCTCATAATCAAAGAATAAATGTTTCAACATAAAAATGCAACTTCAAATTTTGGTTCTTATAGACCAACAAAAAAGTTTTCCTTATGCAATGTCTTGGTAAAAAAAGGGCTCAAATAACACTAATGAGACCTTAAGTCATCATTTGATTGCTACAAATGAAATTGTGAATACACACATTCAAAACATAATGATTTTTCAGCATGATGCAACTTTCACTTCAGAGTTTGCACCAAAACTAAAAAACACATGTCAAATGTGTTTTTACCAAACCAGCGACAGATGGTCGTGGAGGTACCATCATCCATGCTACAATCACTTGACAGACTTTTGTAAAAGAGATATTGGTATCATTGCAACTTTCAAACTTCATCAAGAAGTTTCAATTTTCATATCAAGTTTTGAGCTCTGAAACCAATTCCAAATTTTGGGAGGGACTCATTTTACTTTCAATTCAAGACAAAATCAACTCAAGACGAAGCATTTTGATCACTTCCATCGAATCTGTTTAAATTATAATTCAGTTGGTTTGTGATTTGATTTAAGTATGATGCAATTGACTCCCTTACTGAGATCGGTGGATCAAATACTGCAGGTAAGAACTGATCATCTGAATAGTTTTTCCACTTAGAATGTCTTGTAAACCAGATTGCATGAGTAAGTTCAGTTGAAATACTTTTAGCTTGAAATCTAATCAGTTGAGGGGCTGCAGATTGTAGAATGTTTTTTATCTCAAATTGAAATTCAATGAAAAAGCAATTGAAGAACGAGGAAAGGTAAAGTAGCGAAACATCTGATGTGTTTGTTTTTGTCTTTTTAACAGTGGTCTTGTAATTGTAAAGTTCCGATGATCTTTACTTCGTGATGATCGGAGGTAGTTGCTCCCTGGCGAGATAGTCACCGTGACATTCTAAAAGGATGGAAGTCAGATAATGACAGTTGAGTACATTTTATCTACATTGGTTGAGAAATATCCGGAATCGACTCACCTTGAATGTTATTCACACCTTTACATTTATACTCTGCTGTCCTCTGGGCGGGGTCTGTAGGGACGTTACCACAATCTTGGTCGTACAAAGTCGTATCAAGTGGTGGGATGTCAGCATCGATATTCCCACTTTCCAATGTCTGAAAGATTTTGTCTACTCACCATAATAATTGAGCTGCCAATTTTTGTGATATATCAAGTCATAGAACTCGCACGTGAGGCCCTCGGGAGGGTCCTTGTTGTCGCGGCCCCGCACACAATCGACGCCCGGACTAAGTTCGTTTGGTTCTAGTATAGTTCACCCAGCGTCAGTTGTGCTCGTTGTTAGTTAAAGAGCGACGAAGTCTCAGTGGTGAATGATTGCTTACTAGTGCGGTGACATGCTGAATTTGGAAAAGTGTATTTAAAATTGCCGTCGCTGCAAACTAGTCATCCCAGTTCAAGAAATGCATGTCAGGACAATGTGACACGATCACAATTTTGATTGGGTGCATGATGTCTGCCAGAAACGTTGTACTTACCGGATTTTGCGGTGCTATGAAAGCTCCATGAGCACATCACATCTGCAGCAGAACCAAGATTGACCAGGTTTAAAACGACAAAGGCAAGCAAAACGCAGTAGCTAGTGGAGAAATTCATGTTGGTGAGGTAATTGAAGATGTTCGGTTGCCGCTGGACTCTGAGTAGCGAATTGTGATGGGAAGGGGTATTAATTGGTTGCAAAAAAAGAGATGCTTTATAAAGGGTTTTCAAATCTTTTTTTTTCGGGAGAAAAGGTGTAGCGCTGAGCATTCTTGTCAGTTCTTGCTCCATATGAACCGATTGTGGCTCAAATGTTTCACAGGGCCAAGCCACAGGTTCCTCATCAAGTCGCCAAGCCAGGTGCAAACTTCCTTACCCTTCACAGATCGTACTCTGTATCAGACCCTGAAAACAGCAAAACCAAGCAAATTTACCAACCTGGATGACCATTGAATGTGTTGGTAATCCGGGTCATCCATGTCCGGAGAGTTGCAATCAGCCTTTTGCTGAGACTGCCAAGGACTGCCATCCCTGGGATATACAGGGATAGTAAAATTTCTTCCAGGGTGGCAGTTTTCTTCAAGTGGGGCGTCTTTTTGCTTTCTCTGAACTTCTGGGACCTACCCAAGCCTTTACAAAGGGAATTTTTTTCGAACTTTTTTTTGTACATACAAAATTCTCGATTCAAATCAGGACTCGGAGGAGTTTGATGACCTTCAAAATGATAAATCATTTCTCTTAAAAAATCATGGCCATTGATAAAGCCACGATTCATCAAGCTCTTCAACTCAGGGATGCAGGAATGAGTACCGAGTATGAGTATATACTCAACTGATACTCACTTTGTATGGGTTTACAGGGCCAAAAATAGGCAAAAATACTCAGTATACTCAATAATACTCATGAGTAAACTCATACTCACTCCTGCATCCCTGCTTCAACTTCGTTTCTGTCATTCGATTGTCTAATCTAGTTTGTAAATTATCGGGTTCGATTCTTTTCATGCAATCTTCTTAAGCTGTGGAGTGCTCAAGCCAATAGTTGTAAGTCCCTCTCCACAGGCTCCAAGATGCCGCGAGAGGGACTTTGTTAAGTTGAGAATTTATAAGTCTTCACAGTCTTTATTTTTTCAAACCTACCAAGGTATGCATCAAATATTTAATTGCTCAAAGCAATGTTCAATATGCAGATCAACAAGGGCTTCCTTTTTTAAAAGTTTACTTTATTGGTGTTTGTTATGATGATCATTTTCAAGATATGTAAAATACAAATATTCCCTTATATCATACAAAAAGTGATGGAAACTCCTAATCATCACATTCACTCGATCAACAACAAACATTCATCAACAAAAATAATTTTAAAGAGGTCTCAAGGCCAAATCAGAATCATGATCATTGATATATTGTATAGCTTCTTGTCTAAAATCATCAATAATTGTACCTTTAGATCCATTCGGTCCGATTTCCAACATCTGTCGATCTTGACCATAATTTGGCCAATCAGGATATCCTGCTACATTAGGATTCATTGTGTTTGCAAATGAAATCCATCTAGATTGATATTCTACTGTACGACTTCCAGATAAGATTCCAAGAACATTCACCACGTCTGTACCATGAAAAGCTCCTATATTTTTGTTTTTATTCAAAATGTACCGAAAGAAATCATTGATGAGAATAAGATTTGAAAGATTTTCGGAAAAGGATCACTTACCAAGGTAGGGAACTAGTTTGAAGCCCTTGTCAATGTAACTCCAAACGGGCATACTTGCTTGTGTGCCTTCAAGAAACTGTCTTCGAGGTGCCTTGAATAAGAGTCATTTGTAAGTCAACAAGTTAAATCAAATACATGAAGGAAGATTTTTAGTTAGATACCTGGAATTGAATATCACCGTACATCGAAGCCACTTGTTTAAAGATGGGTGTCAAGATATTCAAAAAACCTGTGTTGTAAGGTGATCCAACTGAAGGGTCTTGAGGATACAAACGTAAGACTTCATCTATTTCTTGTGATGTGGCTTTCTGAAAAAACGTTGAGGCTAAATCTAAGGAGTGGTCGATGAGGGAAAAATCATGATTAATACAAGACTTAAAGTTGAGTGAAAAAGTGATGATGGACATACAATCGCGTAATGGACCATTGCTGAAGAGTGGCAATAAACCAGCTGTTAAGATTGTTCCCTCGTCATCTTGATTTCCTGATATTAAAGGAACTCTAGCGTCTAATCGATCAAAGTACAAAAAGAATAAACTCAAGGTCAAGATGGAAAGAATAAGAGAAAGGTTTGATAATTTGACTTACAAGCTCCTTTAGATATTGATCCTTTCATCGTATCAGTAATAAAATCTCCATCAATTCTAGGTATCCATCGAAAAGGTAAACCATCCACTTTGGCGGGTCCATCTATACTAGAAACAGCTCGACTTTCAACATTGAAATGGTGATTTTTAGTTTGTTGTCCATGTCGATGATGACCAGATCAAGGGTAAAACTTTCACTCACTATAACGTATCAAAGTCTAATTGTCTGAGGCATTCTAGAGTATTCGGTGTACCTTGACATCCCGATCTACTGACAACCGTATCATAATCTTTCTGACCGCCTCCTTCAGCAAATGCTATTGAAAAAAAACAGAACGATCAGCATGAAACTATATAAATCAAAAGAATGGAAGAAAAAAGAATCGATATAACTCACATTCGATTGGTGAAGCAGTCCCACTTTCACAAATCGCAGCACGAAATAATCCTTCGTGATTTCCATTCATGATTGTAAGTTGTTGAGAAACAGAAATGGCACCCGCTGAATTATAACAAGATTTGTAAAAAAAAGACAAATGTTAAAGAGATCTACTGTGTATGAGCAAAAAGATGATTCGGAAAAATTTCTAGCTTACCTGATTCACCAAAGATTGTAACCATCGATGGATCACCTCCGAATTCTCCAATATATTTCTTTTAACAATCAAAGGAAAAAACAACAACGTGTTTTTTTGGTAAGAGATTTAATAAAGATCGCCAATTTAAGAAAATAATTATTTACCTGTACCCATTTCAATGCGAGTCTTTGATCTTTTAATCCTAAATTTCCAACACCTTCTTGACCTACTTCTTTTCCTCCTAAGAATCCAAAGCCATTCAAACGATAATTCATAGCCACATAAATGATAGGTGTTTTTTGTGAAATACTTGTTGAAACTAAAGACGATCCATCATATACATTTGTTGCACCGAATTCAAAGGCTCCTCCATCTGATCAAAAGAAGTTTAAAGGTAATTTGTGAGAATCAAAATTTGTAAGGATTTCAAATGATTATAATCTGACTCACAGATGTATACCATCACAGGCACATTTGCACCCTTTTGGATCCCTTTGGGTCGACGTACCTGAAGATCAATGAAATCAATTTCATCATGAATCAATACAAATAAAAAACACATTTGATCGAATTTTGATTCGACTGGATATTCAAAAAAACTTACATCAAGTGTCAAACAATCTTCTTGCCCAACACCTACAGGACCGATCAAAGGAGTAAACTGATTAATCAATTCAGCTTCTGTCAAAAGATTTTCTACAAGTCCATTTCCAGTCAGTGGTAAAGCTTGTGGACAAGCAGGAGGTAGTTTCTGTCAAGATCAAAGTACAGAATGGATTAGATCCCTATGCATCCAGGGAATGAAGTCATACAAAAAGGTCTTACGGTTGCATCAAAGTTGGAGTAATGATTGAGTGGAGGTATAGGATTTGTTAATCTTCGAAGACCGACTGGAGGTTCCGCCTTGCCACACAATAATTCATGTTAGTTAAATGTAAATCCCCAGCGGATATAAAATGATACTCACAAATGGGATTCCAGTGAAACTTTCTATGTTGCCTAGACTTCCTCCAATGAAGTTTCCATAATCCAGTGCTACATTTGGTGAAGCTGTATGAAAAAAAAGGTAATGTCAACCAAAAAGATTAAATCTGTCATAGTCAATGATACTGACTTTTAGGTAGGTTGCCATTTGTATCTTGGTTAGTAGACGTGGTTGTTCCATCATTACCATTTGCACCAACGAATGGATCAAAAAAAGGTAAGTCTCTCTTGGTATGGTTGTGAACATTTTGATTTTGAACAATTGGTGAATCAAGATTACTAGTCGATATTTTTACAGTTTGGTAAAGCTCTGTTGGTATATTTCTAGGTAAAGAAATCGCATTGACTTTGAATGCTAATAAAAGAATGAAATTGAAATAGTTGATATGCATGCTGACAGTGATAAGAGGTAAAAATGTATAAGTCGCTATGAGTGAATGTTTATGAATGAATGTTTATGATAGTTTTATTTACTATATCTTGTAAAAGTGAAATGTCGTATAAATATTTACGTAGGTTGAACAGCTCAAAGCATAAAGTTCTCTGCTCAAAGGTAAATATGCTTTATAAATTTTCGGTTGAGAGAAAGTTACTTTGAAAAGGTTTGTTTGAGTAAGAGCATTGAATCGCTCCTCAACACCTGGACCGGTCAATGTTTTTGTCTCAACCGGGTGTGTCTATGATGAAGGTGTCACAAACCATCAAAAGTTTTCGCACCTACTGACCTGACCAGCCGACTTGGAAGTTTGAACCCGTATATATGCATGTAGACAAGTTTGATACGATCTCTCATATGATGCTCTTATAGGATACTAACCCGTCCGGAAGTCCACTGGATACCTTTGCAAATGTCTGCTTTACAGATGTGACGTCTGTAACGCGTAATGTGATTTTTTGATGACCTCAAATAAATGAACGAGTTATCGATTCTTGATCTCACAGCTTAGATTAACTTGAAAAAGCTCAACGGATTACTCTATACAGCCTTAGGCGAGAAATCGTTTGATGAACCTCCGACCACTATCAATCACACGTGTCTATATAATCTCTTCGACTCGTTATCAGTATCCACCTGCAATTAGATGCATAACAAATTCACATTGGAAAAAAAATGAATCTGAAATCCAAAATCCAAACTTTTGGATTGGTCATTAGATTTGATTCATCCCTTACCAGAACAAATCATGTGCCAATCTTTTGCTGTCGAGATGCAAGATGAGATGATGCAAATAACTGTCAGTTGACGTTCAAAGAAAGTATGAGTAAATAGTAAGATAAAATAGTATAATAAAATAGACGAAGCAGAAGAAATCCAGAATGACTTCGGTATGGATCTCTTCAAGATGTGTGATATCATTGAGGATAAGCTTGCGTAAAGCGAATCAAGAGACCGAAATTTTAAAGAGTTTCGAAACTTATGCTCGAAGAACTTCAAACCTGCTCAGTCGCGTGTTATGTTGTAGTACTTTGTACTTTAGTACACGGTAAAGAGTGTAAATAAAAAAGTGCCAAGTGTATGTATTGATTGGCTTTTGAAGTTGAACCTGATTGCTTGGTCGGTCAATCAAGGACACCATAAGCCTTTCGACGCGAGCTATTGGATTTTTCCAGGAGATCTTTGGTCATCATACTTGATTTTTACGCGACGAAAAAGTTGCCAATGGGTGGTTGAAAGCTGTGAGATATTGCGAGGATTTCGGAGAAGTAGGTTGACAGGTTGGTGAAAGGTTTGAATGAAAATCAGTGATATGTTGGTGAAAGTGTTTCTGATTTGGTGTTCGATCGAAATTTGGAAAGAAATCAAACCAAACCAAGTCAAAGCAAGTGACCATGAACCCATCAAGCTCCAATTCACCATTACCAAACTCATTCAGATTAACTACTCCATCTTCAAAACCACCAAACTCATCAGTATCAGATTCATTAAAACAACTATTAGATCATTCAAGACAACTACAAGCTGGAATAGCCAACTCAACTAATCCTCATCATCCATCTTCAATCTCAGCCAACTATCCATCTTCTTCTTCTTCTGCTTCAGGTATAGGTCTTTCAGGTTCACTTCCTACTGTTCAATTAGGGCTAGATCAAATCGAATCACAATCAAGAAGATTAATTTCAAAATTAAGAAAAAACGATCCATTTGATTCTAATCTTCATCATCAAATCAATCCTTATAGTAAAGATTCAAGTCAGATTGGTGTGATCAATGGTCAAGGATCTAGTTCTAAAGCTAATTATTTATTAGCTAGTGCTGGGGTTAATGCAGATGAATTAGGTAGAACGATTGATGCGGTCGATTTAAGAGGTACATTTGAACCACTTCAACCATTACAAGATACGGATGTAGAGGTAAGTTTCATAACATCACAATCTTAAATCCTCTATTCTAGATGACTTATCTTTGATTTTTTGACGCGTTTTTTTTTATCAAAATAGGGATATTTAAAACATGAACATGAACAATCTATAATCGCTTCAATTGAAGAAGGTAGAAGACAAACCGTACAAGATTTCTATCAATTATTAGATAAATCTTTACGACTGAATTGGGAACAACAAAAAGAAATCTTATTTGAAGAATTAGGTCGACATCAACCATCATCAAATCATAGTGAGATCTTTTTCGGTTCGAATTCGATCAACAATCATCATCCTCAACACTTATTAGAATCCACTCCTAGTAGTTCACCTGAACATTTGAACAGAAGATCTGGATCTAGAACTTTTTCAATCGAAGGTACCACTTTTGGTGGATCTCAATTAACTAATCCTACCACTCGTAATGGTACGAATCTACCTAGTTTAGATATGCATGGAAAGATGATGAGATATGATCAAGTCGTCATCAAATTAAATGAAAGACGTCGACAAAACATTCAATTCCCCATCATTCATGCCTTTCAACAAGCCAGTGTACCTAACCATCCAGAAGAATCCAATAATAAAAACAATCAACACACGCCTTTGATTGATACATGGAGTTTATTAAAACATATCGTACAAGAACCTAATTCAGATTTGATTGATCAACAAGGTACTGAATTGATTGGTGGGATCAGATTAACTTCAGTTTCACAAGAAAGAAAGTTTTCGAAAGCTTATCTTGGTGATCCACAAAGTTCAGAAGCTAAAAACTTACGAAAACAATTAGCTGAAGGTGCTAGAGTTCATCTTCAACAACAGTAAGATTCTTTCTTCAATTCTTTGATTTCAAACTGATGTCTAAAGTTGAACTGTTGATTTTTTTTTATATTTAGATTCTTGGATCATATTAATATGCAAATCGCTTCGCATCCTGTTGAAGCTAACTTGGGAGGTGATCCATCTATTAGTAATAAGATTAGAGCTTATGTCGAATTAAAGTTTTGTAAAAATGGAGTTTGGCAAGACAAACGACTTGAAGTAAGTTATCCAATCTCGATTCCATTGGAACCCTCCCGGCTCCTCCCAAAACAAACAAACGGCCAAGAAACTAATGGAAAGTTTGTTTTTCAACATCAATTTATGAAAGCTTATAAACCAAACCCCAGTTTGGGCACGAATTTTTTATTTATTAAGGATTGGACAAGTCACAGAAGCCGTTCAATTTGCGAAAAGTCAAGAAACACAAATCCGTAAAACCGAACCTAACTTTTTATCATATTTCACATCATGGTCCACATCCACAGATAAAAGATTAACCAAAACCTTACGAGATAGATTCATAGCTGAATATAATCAAAGGATCAGAGAAGTCAGTTCGGATGGAGGGTTTGGAGTAGGAACGATGACGAGTAGTAGTAGTAGTACGAATCCATTGAGTTTATCATCTAATCCAATCGATCCATTCAAACTAGCGATTTATAAGATCATTGGTAGAGTCGAACTTCAAAGAAGGAACGTACCAATAGCTATCTCAAGTATGGAAGATTGGATTTGGTTACAATTAGTTTTGGTTAGAGAACTTGATCAAGTTGTTGATCATCAGCATCATCATCATTTGAGTAATAGTAATAATCCTTCTAGTTTTGATAAGTATGGATTAGATGATTTTGCTCAGGTGATTGCTAAGTATGGTGAAACTCATTTCGATCCGAATGGGAATCGACCATTAATGTATTTTAGAGTATTACTGATGAGTGGTCAATTTGAAAAAGTAAGGTTTTTCAAATCGAAGGGTTTCGTTTCAAAGTGAACCCTTGATTTAAGTTGATGAAATCCTTTTTTTTTCTTTTTTTTTTTGGTTTTGGTTTGGTTTTTTTGAAATAGGCTATTCTTTTTCTTCAACAAAGACCTAATTATCAACTTGATGCTGTTCATTTTGCTATTGCTTTAGCTTATTATGGATTACTTAGAATATCTGATACAGTTCCAGCCTTAGAAGGACATCCAAGTTGAGTAACCTGATCCTCCAAGATTCTGATCCTCATTTTTTTTTTCTTCTTTAAACGAAACTAAATCATGAAATCCTTTTTCTTCTTTCTATAGTTTCACCTGTGACCACATCCAACAATAAAACGTTTAATTTATCAGGTCCAAGTATCAATTTTGCAAGATTGATTTATAGATATACTAGATTGTTTTCGAAATCTGAACCGGAGATTGCTTTACAATATTTATATTTGATTTGTTTAAATTCAGATGTTCAACCATCTTCATTAGGACAACAACAAGTGAATTTGTGTCATACTTATATTGGTGATCTAGCAGTTGAAACAGCTTCTCATGAAGAATTATTAGGTGATGTTAGGAATGATGGAACTCGAGTAGTAAGTTTTCCTTTTTTTTTCTTTCAAACTACTTGGGTTTTAAAGTCTGATGACCACTTTTTTTGGTATTTGATAGCCTGGAATGATCGAAAGAGATTTAAGTTTGATTAAGTTGAATGATCAAAGAGATTATTTAGAAACGATTGTCAAACAAGCAGCCGAGAGAGCCTTTAGAGAAAGAAGATTAAGAGATTCGATTCGATTATTTAATATTGCAGAAGAATATGATAAAGTGATTGGAGTATTAAACCTAGAATTAGGTAATTCCTTATCCCAACCGATCCATGATTCCAACCTAGAAGATGGAAGTACTTTACAGATGTCGAATCATTCGAAAGGAGCTACGATCTCTTTAACCGCTTCGGAAGATATTCTGGTGGTGGCTAAGAATATTGTGGAACATTATGATCGAACGAATTTGATTTCTTGTAAGGTTTCTAAAAAGAATAGAGAGACTTGTGGGTTGTTGTTGAAGTTGAAGACGATTTTGAATTTACATGAAAAAGGAAGGAATGAACAAGCATTAGGAGTAAGTCATTCGATCGATTTCGATTACTAAATCATGAAAATCTCATCATGGTTTTGGTTTTGGGTTTTAGATTTTAGATTCGATTGAATTATTACCAACAGGTAATGATTTAGTACAAATCATTAGGAAATCAGAACAAATTAAAGATTTAGATGAATCGATCATTAAGAATTTAGATTTGATTGTTTTATGTGGAATGAATATCTTATTTAAAGTCTTTAATGAATTAAAAGAAAGTCCGTATGGTGATAGTGGTAGGCAAGCTGTAAGTGATTTAAATCAAATCAGGTTTTGAATGAAGGGAAAAATGAAAACTGATTGTTTCTTGTGTTTTTTGTGTTTTCTTGTGTTTTTTTGGGGGGTTTTGGGGGGAATTTGATAGAAAATGGCTGAAATTAAAACTAAAGCTAGAGCTATTACTACGTTTGCTGGGATGCTTAGGTATAGATTATCACCTGATACTTATTCACAATTAAGTAGACTTCAAGCTTATTTACATTAAGAAACCAAAACCCAAAACCCAAGACACAAAACACACAAAAAGATTGAAGGAAACTCAAGTTTTGTTTTTTTCTTTATTATATCATTTTCTTTTTGAGTTTTGATAAATGTCTTTTTTTAAAGAAAGGAAAAGTCAAGTTTTTTTTTGGTAGTAGTTTCTTGAGATCATCAGATGAGAAAAAGATGTGCTTTGGAAGTTTTTCTTGTTAGGATTTCAGTGGCTGGTTCTTTTCTTCTTTTGTGTGTTTGATTTGGATTCAATTTAAGATGTTTTTTTTTAAAAAAATAGATCTTATAAATAGTTTATTTTTTTCTGGTCTTTTGTTTTGGAAAATCTTAGTTTATAAGTATCTTGATAAGGAACGGTTTTTTGAAGAGATTTTGAGATTTTGAGGTCTTGAGGTGTGAGATTTTTAAGATCAAATCATTAATATTTATTTTTGAATTGTTTCTTATAATTGATCTTGATTTTTTAAGATGAACACTTTTGGATCATCACAATTAGATCTAGATCATTAAACTAATGAGTCATTTATTCTTAACTGTTGATCAAATTCCATTAAGGGCTTTCAAGTTACAATTTTTTATACGCTTTTTTAAAAAAATGGTCAAGTTTTATATAACAGTGTAAAAGTTTAAACTTGACTGTTTGTAAAAAGCAAGCATGTTGGATGATTATCGTCGTAAAAAGAATTGAAGCAGTGAACCAATTGTTCCAAGCTTTGGCTACATTCCCTTGGAAGACAATGACAAGATGGCCTTCTTGACCAATCTCATGTTTGATGAAGTGGGCGATACCATCATTGAAAAGGTCAAAAGGTTGACCGGATACTTTTTTTATAAGCATAAATTTACGCTAATTTTAAAACGGGAGACATAAAAAGGTCTAACTTAACTAAGTCCCTATGCTCTTGCCGCGAGCTTGTGAGCATAGGGACTTACCTCTAATGTCGAGTTTCTTGGTGACAAGCCCATTTGGGTTTTGGTGGTAGAAATCTGTACCAACAGAACTTTTCCGCATATGATTATGAAATTTCCTCTTCTTCAACTATATTTGGATTTGGCTTCTTACACGCCTTTCCATTTATCTAACTTTTACTTTTGTAATCAGTATAAAAAGTTTTCATTGAGCTCAAGAAGAGCTCTTTTGAAATTTCAAATGCTGCGAGTTACACAAAACAAAAGGATATGTAATGTGAGACCTTGTGAACCTCTCGACTCAAAACCACACCGTTGATCATCAGAAATTGACCAAGAGAATTGGTCAACAAGGATTGGATCCTTACATGAGGGTTTTGCCAGTAACTGGCAGTTTTTGAGATAACGCCCACTCGTTGACCGCTACAACAAAACCGCATTCTAAAAAGATGGCTACGCAGATCAACCCAGTCTTGAGAGAAGTGAATTCAAATATCGAAGCCGATGATCAAGCGCCGGAGGTCAAAACCGCTGAGTCTCAAAATCGTACAATCAAGATATGTGATTATATCCAAAAAATTGGAATGAATCCCAAGGAATTTATTCAAAGTTTACTCGATTCCGAGGTCGTTGGAATTCCTTCGAGACGACAATTTTGGGCTACAAAGACTGGTTGGGCTTCAACTGAGAAAGTCCTCTTCAGTATCAAGAGGCGAGTGATCGAGTGCGAAAAGAAGGATGGTACTGACCGATGGAGTACCTTCATTTTGAATGAGGCAAGTCTCTTCCGGTAACATCACAGGATTGAATCATTCCTGATGTAGCTTCAATTACAAAGGCCCACGAGGTTGTTAATCGTGAAGAGCCACCTCGAGGCCATGCTCCAAAAGGAAGCTTTTATAGTGCAGGGTGTGTGGACTACAAGTTTTTCAAAAGCAAGTCTGAAGACCTTCGAGAGAAAATCTTGAGGAACAGTATGCCTTTCCTGCATTCTCTAATCTACAAGAAGATCGAGTTAGCTGTTATGGAACGAAATAAAGTGCGCGACAAAAAGTCAAAAGATGCTGCCGAAGCAATAGATTCACCTGAAAACGACGAGTCAATGATATCAGAAACCATTCCTGCTGAGGCGATGGAAGGTCTATCACATTCGGAAAAGCCTTCCTCCAGCAGGACTGATGAACATCGATTGAAGCATGTACGCACTTGTGACTCATGTTGGTTGAATGCAAAGAAAAAAATGAACTGATTAGGTATCTCTCGACTCAGCTTCCTTGTACTATACTCGCAATGATAGCTTTTGCCTGCAACAGACGCTTCAATGGGACACAATTACAAAACTCGATTTCTTTTATTGCTTGCGGTATTTCCAAACGAGTCAATGATTATCTAAACTTCTTGGGAATAACATCTAGCCGTCAAACTGGACTGAAAGCTATGGAAACCCTTGGAAAAGCTTCCGAAGAGATCATTAAAACTAGAATGGCCCAAAAATATAACCTTCGGCCTTTCACAACACTCGATAATATTGACATTCAAGCACGTGTTCATGATCCTCGAATCAAGGCTTCTACAAAGATGTTCCATGGTTCTTACGGATATCTTCATTTCTTACCTGCACATCGCCTTGATAACATTGACCCCAAGGATGCTAGTCTCGAGTCTCTCCTGAAGTACATCGAAAAAAGCCAATCAGAACTGTTTGAAATTTTCTCGATGTTGCGCAGTCAAGAAGATCAAGTGCATTGGTCTCTAGTACTGAAGTCGCAGCTGGCTAAAGCTCTTCTGGATTACGAACTCAAGAAAGACTTGCCAACATACAATACTTGTAAAAAATCGCTCGCAACTGTCCCTCCTGCAGTTGACCAAATCGAATGGTACAAACCCGATCTAGTGATGCTCAAGATGATGAGCGCATCAGACAGCTCTTCTGCAGGTGTTTCTGATATGCTCAGTCAATGTTTAAAGCAGACTGACGAAGACCCGGATAAATGTGCCGAGGGAATCCAAGTGTTTGAAGGGGATATGGGGACTTGTTTGAACTTCGAATCATTGACCCGACAGCGCTTTCCGGCTGAGATGGCTGCAGAATCCTTGAGTAGTGTTCTCAACATGCCTGGACTAGCACATACAATGTGGAACGTGGCTAGCAAGCTTATAAGCCATCATTGGGGTGATTCAAGCGACTCAAACAACACTGGTCTTCACCGAACCGCCGGTGCACTTGCAATTCCAACGGACAGACTCCCATCTCAACAGGACTTCAATGCCTTGCTACTAATTATTCACAAAAGCCATACGGCTACTATGGTGTTTTTATTGAGATATGTATTAATTGACTATTTTCTTCGCAAGTCTTCAGCTGATGGTTTATGTCTTTCAACACGCAGATAATTCAGAACCGCGAACCCCCTGTTCAACTCGATCAACCCAATGTTGCCCAATCCATTATTGATGAATGCTATGATAAATACTTCACTGTCTCATCAGTTAAAGAAGCTTCAAAGACTGGGGACTGGACTTTGTATAATCTTCGTCTGCGACTTTGTGACTTTGCAACAATTGTTGAAGGTGATCATGCAATGCGAGTAGGAGACATAGGTCGTGTCCTGCTAATGTGGAAGAGATGGGCTGTTATGGCACATGGAGTCAAAGGCCTTTTGCACTATGCAATTCACCTGCCAAGATTTATATTGATCCTGAATCAATTCTTACCTCCAGAGATTTCTAAAGCAATCAAGCATTCACTTTTGATTGCAACTGGAGGGCGCGATGGACACTGGGTTGGCAAAGACTTTTATCTCGAGATTCAAAACTATTGGCTGAAATATTTTTACAACAACTCGGTGAGTCCTTTCCTCTTTCAATTTTTGATTATCGTGGACTGATTAGATAGATCCACGTACTTGTAGGGTCAAGGTACAAAGATCGAAAAACTTATGGAAAGGTTTTCAATCATCATTCCACTTGTGAGGCCGCTTTTCTTTCTTTGATAATATTTGGTGCGATCTCAAGGGTTGATTAAGTATGAATACTATATAGCTGCGTGAGCAGATACATCAAATAAAAGCACGATCTGGCCTGAAGGATGTATATCAGAACAATCCACATCCAATCTCGGAGCCAACAATGAGAAACTTTTTACATATGGCACAGGTTCACCTGAGCGATCCCAAATACTCTACATATAATTGCTCTGCTGATGAGAATGATGAAATTGATGATATTGAAACATTGGGAATTGAAAAGTTGCGGTCAATCCTCAACATTGAAGCACGAAAGAATATTCCTTCTCGCTTCATCTGGGGATCTATGAGCACCGAAACGGAAGATCAAGATATCTCAAATCAACCTGATCAAGCTACTTCAACTCAACCTGATCAAGCTACTTCAAATCAACCTGACAAACACACAACATTTCCTTGAATCAAAGTTAACCTGATGTACTCGTAAAATGTACAATTTGTTTATTTTTATCAGCCTGTTTCTGCTCTTTCAATTTCAGAGCTTGTGAAGCCTTTTCGGTGCGTAACCGCTTTCGATCTGCGATGCCTTGAGCTTTGAGATCTCTTGCAACAGCTTTCAATCGCGATTCCTCCTCATGCTCTTTTTCAATAAGTTCTGTGTCAAGAAATTCTTGATCGATTGAAATCTGAATATCTTCAAGATCGGCTTGGTGTTGTTTGTAAGAGTTACTGTGAAGCCAAGAATTAATACCTGTTGTGATTGTTTCAAAGAGTCCAGGTATTGTTTGTCCTCCAAGGATCTCTCGCAGAAAGGCTCCATTGGAGACTGAGGTGTAATTCTTAGTGATCTGCCAAGCATCCTCACGGCTGAAAAGATTTTTGGGTAAATAGGGTGGATCGGTCGGATACGTTTTCTTGACAAGAGTTTCGTAATGTCCAAGAATCGAGACTGCGAGATCAATCATTGGTGCATTCAGTCAAATTGGGTCATTCAACTTGCATACAAGTGGAATGTTGCTCGAGAACTTTCGCTTCCTGCTGCTCCTTGGAATGTTGAGTAGCGATTCGTCTTCTGGCTCCGATGGAAAAGACAACATCAGAGCATTTAAGTCTGACGATTTTGTTTGTGGAAGTAGACGAATGATTCGAGCAGCTCCTTGAGGGTCACAGTTCGAACATCGACAAGCTGGCATTTTCTCAGACTTTTCCCGCTCGATCTCCAGAAGGTAACCAGGATCCGACAGAGACATGGCAATATATCCTTTTCTGTACAATCCAAATTGATCAGTTTTTTGATTATGGATGTTTGTTATTCTTTGTGTAGCATCAGAAAATCTTACAAAGTTTCCAGGGAATATACAACCCTCAAGCAACACGGTGTGAATCTTAGAGCATGCATGCGCTCCTGATTGTCCATTTTAGAGTCGACTTTGACCGCTGAAGCCGAATTTTTGCCGTTAGGTATGTTTGGCTGGACTAACAAGATGACTAAACCTTCCTCCCCATTGCGCCCACGGCCAGCTCTTCCAGCCATCTGATTGGATTCGGATGGGTCCATCGCACCCATGATAACTACAATTTTGACGCGGGGCCAGTTCTGACCAAGTCCAAGAGCGGAAGTAGCAGAGAGGATTGGGAATTTGTCTTCACCATATTCCTTAGCCCATGTTTCCTTGTCCTTATCACCAGTCACAGAATGATATCTGCGAATACATTTTGATTTAGGATTCTTATAATCATCTGGTTGACCCCGAGCTTTTGAAACTACTTCCATTACTTTCAATGTTCTATTACGAGTACCTGAATAGATAATCATTGGAGGCAATTCTTTGTTTGAAACAATCGATTCGTGAGGAATTATTGCAGAGAGATCTTCTGCTGAATCAAGAGTCTCGGTCAAATAGATTCGAATGAAGCGCAGTTCCGGACAAGTAAGCTCTCCCTGTATCATTGTCATGTTTGATGATGTTAAGCTTAAGCTTTTCATTATTGCTGAGACTGCTTGAGGCCCACAAGTTGCCGACATTAAAAGTGTTGGTATGTCGTCGGTTGCCATCAGCTGCGGGCCAAGTTTTCCATAAGATGATCGAAATAGACCAACATCTTGTGGAGTCACATGAACCGAAAAGTTCCTTGAAGCTCCGCTCTCCTGAAGCCCCCACAAATAAATACAGTGTGCTTCATCAACCACTTTTAAAGCAAGATGAGACTGAAACTGTTTACTATGGTAAAGTGTTTGAAACGATTCACTATTTAAGAAGATCTCAGGACTCTTTGGAAACCAATGATAGGTATCAGCTTCCTTGAAAACAAAGAATTGACGTGTTCTCTCTGGACAAAAGAACATACCAAATATATGAATGAATAGTAATTGCTTTTTAATTGCTTCAATACTTTCTTATCAAATGTATTCTTTGTTAGATTAACCGCAGTGATACCGGATGAACGTTTCTCTAAAACCTAAAGAGAATAGCCAGGTCATCTAGCCTGAAGTGACATGGCTGGCATTGATCAAAAGCCTAAACAAACCTGATTATCACCGAGCGCATCTAGCGGGTTCAACACTAATATAACAGCGTTCTTGACCTTTGGGAACATGTGGAAGAATAGTTCCGAGACTCGACTCTTTCCAGATCCAGTTGCAGAAAGTAAGAAGGTATTTTGACCGTTTGCTAGACTAACACCGGCTTGTAGCTGAACGTCGCTTGGCTCGTCATTGAATCACCTAGCCATGAACTTGGCCTTGAACAATGTCCACTGCTCAGCAATTGTTGCGGTGAGGACTTTTAAGCTGAGACTTATCCGTTCTAGATGTAAGCTATGGCTGGACTCGCTAAGATCGTTCAAATCCGGTCTTTCTTCCTCATCATGTGGAGCGCTTCGAGTTCGCATTTTCGTCGAAGACATTTTGGTTCTTTATTGAATAGACGCGTTCAAAGCTATTGAAGCAATCACTTTTCCTGACCAAGTCAAGACATCCTCGAATTTGGTTTTCAAGCTGCATAGATGTCACAAACGACCGTTGAGCCGACATCCGCAGTCATTTATGAAATTTCAAAAGAGCTCTTCTTGAGCTCAATGAAAACTTTTTATACTGATTACAAAAGTAAAAGTTAGATAAATGGAAAGGCGTGTAAGAAGCCAAATCCAAATATAGTTGAAGAAGAGGAAATTTCATAATCATATGCCGAAAAGTTCTGTTGGTACAGATTTCTACCACCAAAACCCAAATGGGCTTGTCACCAAGAAACTCGACATTAGAGGTAAGTCCCTATGCTCACAAGCTCGCGGCAAGAGCATAGGGACTTAGTTAAGTTAGTAAAAAGGTTGTCTGTTTTAAAAATATTTTACGTAAAATTTATGACTTTGTCCAAGTTTTTAAAACATAAAATCATGTAAAATGTCAAACTTGAAACCCCTTATTAGGGGGGCTCAAGTCAAAATATTTTACTACTTTTATTGTAATTTTTTTTTCCCAAATTTTTTTAAGCAGCAAATTTACGCAGATTTGCGTAAATCTGCTGCTCAGAAGGAGATCCGAAATAAATTTTTACGGTCTGTTTTTACAAATTGGGAAAAGTTTTTACAGCACGGTACTGTAAAAAACTTTCCCCGGTTTTTTAAGAAAAGGCCGCAAAAATTTTGACTTGAGCCCTCTTATTGTCTCTGGTTACATTTCTTGAAATTTCTCTTTTGTATACATCGTGAATTCTTATTCAAGATTTCAATTCATGAGGATCTTTTCTGAGTTGTTTTTCCATCAGTCTTGAATCATAAGTAATCAACAGAAAAACCAAAGAGAGATCCATAATATCCATAAGTACTCTAGTTTGAGAGAATGATATAATTTTTAACTGAGAAGGGGTTTTTTGGGGGAAGGAGAAGAAGAGAACTTTGCAAAAGGAATCTTGATTCTTATTCAATCAAAGTTACCCAAGAATTTTTGGGTGCATGCAGTAGCAATCTTCATAATTGAACACCAAACACCAATACAAATCAAATAACACCACATGAAGTATTGATGAAGGGAAATCCTCAAGTTGATCACTTCAGGGTATTCAGTTCTTGGGGATTTGTGCATATTTTTCAAGAAGTACAGAAAAAGTTGGATCACAGAGCAATCAAATGTAGAACAATTTATTGGTTATCCAGTGGGATCCATGGGGTGGAAGTTTTGGGAACCTAAATCAAACTTGTTTTTAAAGTTGGCATATGCTGATTGGTTGGAAGAGGATGCTGATGTCATGATAAGGAGAGGAAAGGATGTTGAGACACGGCCTATACTGGACAAGACAACTGGAATTGAACATCAGTTGAGAAGAAACAAACTTGACTCACATATTAGAAACATGGTTTGATTTGAATGATCATCCTCTTCAAAACAAAGTTTGTACACAAGATAAATCAGTAAATCAAATTCAGTTAATAGTGGCTGGTATAGCAAATAAGATACCAAGCAGTTTGAAGTTAGCATGACCAAATGTGTATTTGAAAAGAAACTTGATAGTGATCAAAATGTGATAAAGTTTAAAGCAAGATTTGTTCTATGTGGTTTTAATCAAGAACAAGGAGTAGGTTTTCATGAAAGCTTTACTCCAACAGCATGATTTTCTTCATTATTGATAATGTAACTGTTGATGTATCAAGAAATTGGATATTGGAGAGTTTTGATGTGGTTTCAGCTTATCTGCATAGTCTGATTGATGAAGAAGTTTACAGTATCAACTCAGAGGGATATCCTTCTTCAACAGAAGGGAATGTCTCAAGACTGAAACAAGCATTGTATGGAACTAATTAACAGGCTGGAAGATATTGGTGGGAATTTTTCTCAAATGTCTTATCAAATGTTGGAGGCAAATATTGTGTAAATGATCAATCAATTGATGTGTTAAAATTAGAAGGAGGGACAGCAATATTATGGATTAATGTTGATGATGGTATGATATGTTCATCAGATGCAGAATGGTTTATTTATTTATGAACATCATTGGAAAAGTCTTTTGATTTAGTTTGGCAGAAAGAGGTAGATCAAATAGTTGGGGTAAAGATTGTACAGAAAGAATGTGGTCCATTCTTGACTCAAGGAGTTTTAGCAACTTGGATTGGAAAGGAAGGGTTTCTAATATTGAGTACAGCAACACCAATGTTAGCAGGACTAATTCTTGGAACACCAAAAGACTTGGAATGGCAAAAGATGATGATGTACCTTGAGAATCTAGCAAGTATCTGTTTTTGATTTGGTCTTTGAATTATCTGGTGGTTGGAACTCAACCAGATATTGCTTTTGTTGGTGTTCAATCAACTCAGCAAGTCAAAACAAGTTAATACAAACAGTTACGTAGATATACTCACACAATCAGAACACATAACAGCACGAGTGAATGAGAAATGCCAAGATCAAGCTAAAGAAGAAGTAGTGTAGATGTCAGATGAAAAGAGTTTGTAGTTCAGAGGAAGGAGTAATGCAGCCGTCGGAAACGGATGATATTTAGATTGAAGTCATTTCCAATCCGTTGTTTTCCTTTCATTTTCTCTTATCATCATTCTCATACATGTTGTGCGTCAGCCCAAATCCTTAGTAGCAGGATTGTGGTGTTGTTCCATCTAACACTTAGCACGTGCTTATCAAGATTACTCTAACCTGTTTCACACACATCAGTTTTATCTTCCACAGATCACAAGAACTCATTGTTTGAGTTATCACATTTCCTTTTGTCTAACCACTATAGGTCAGCCCAAATCCTTAGTAGCAGGATTGTGGTGTTGTTCCATCTAACACTTAGCACACGTTATCAGATCATTACAGGTCTTTCATTCTCACAGTGTGTTCCAAAACACCTAAAACATTTTCAGCTTTCACTGTTAACTATCTGGCACAATTCTTGGAAAAACCAATATCAACTCATTGAACAGCATTGAAACACCTTTTGAGATATGTTTTGGGTACAAGGGGTGATGGTTTATTTTTGGATCTGATCACCTTAATTATGGACTTGATGCTTTTTGTGATGTAAACTGGGGGGGATTTCTTGAGGTTGACTCATGATATATTTTATTTTTATTTGGTGGTTGGGCGTCAAGAAGACAGAGCTGCATTGCAACATCAACTTATCATGCTGAGTATACACAGCCCCTGAAGACTAGTCACTGGCAGCCCACGCATCCAACTTGATACTTTTTCCAGACTTTTTGTTTTCAAACTGCTGTGAAACAAATTTCAATCAGTTATCATACATATATTGTCCAGTCATCAGAAAGATCTGGATCAGTCATAGGCAAGACATCAACTGAGTGTTCAACCAATATTCTACAGCTACTGAAAAGATCCTCATCAATAACAGACCCACTGATTTTGAAAATGATAGAATGATTCAATTTGAAGCAAGGCCAGCTTCCTTGCTCGAGCTTGCCAAACTGTCAATCCTGACTTTCATGCTTGCGTTTGCCATCTGATCACCACACTGTTGTTGTGTACTATGATAACCTATTGGCCACTCTGAACTCTGCGCTGGTGGTCTTTGCTTTACTTGAAATACCCCTCCAATTTGACAGTTTATACTTGCCTCAAATACTATCCACCCCCATCCACTTTGCTGCTGGAGAAATACTCTCAACCTCAATTCATCACTGACATCAATCATCATCTCTATCAGCAATTCATTTTGCATTGAGTTGATCCTTGCTGTGGTCGTGATAGCCATAGCTATTGTTGATGGCCACTCTGACACTGACCAGCATCAGAAGCCACATTCAAGTTGATCCACAGCAGGTACAATTATCAGCTCCTAGCCTCAAGGGTGGATCCACTGAACAAACATCACAATGACCAGTCAAGATATATCACAAACCCTTTCAAATACTACATGATGTAAGTTGAGCAACAAATTCAAGACAAATTGAAAACAAAAGTTTCTGGGATGCACTGAGCTGCCAGTGACTTGTGATTAGGGGCTGTGATATCACATTAGGAACTATGGCACAGGATTCAGTATGGGTGATACAGTCAAACCCGCGCAAATGCATAAATTGGGGCGACGATTTTTTCTATGCATTTTGACCGGTTATTCATTTTAGCGGGCTTTGTGATAATACATAACTCTATGCATTATGGTCATAATACATACATTTATGCATTATGGTCATAATACATACATTTATGCATTATGGTCATAATACATACATTTATGCATTATGAGAACAAAAATATCATAATGCATAGAGTTATGCATTATGAAGCAGACAAAAATGTGAATGCACAACTGCTCCAATGAAAATTTGTGCTTCCAGAACCCCGCAAGTCCGGGACCGGCCCCGGATCTCTATGCATTATGCCCACCAACATCCGGATTTCCTTGGCAACGCGCTATGCATTAGTACATTATGCAATAGTTTGGAGTTTGGCCTGCGCCAGCTTGGTGGAACCCAAGCCCTATGCAAATTGGCTGATTATGCATTTGCGCAGGTATGCATTTGCGCGGGTTTGACTGTACAAAGAAAGATGATGTGTGATAATACAACATCAGTGAACTTGGCTAAAGATCTCATCATGTGGCACAGGAATTTCAACATGTCAATGAACTAATTTATGATGAAATTGTGGAGGTAGTATGGATTGATGGTAGGACTCAAGTCTCAAAGAGCAGTTATTTTCACAAAGCCATTAGGGCATATTAGCCGTGTTCAAACCAAACCCGGTTGCACAAAAACCCGGTACACCCGGTTGACTTTTTGGCTGGAAGCTGTCAAGAGCTGTCACTAGATACACAAAGTTACCACCAAAAACACAACTGGGTGTACTGGGTTTTTGAGTCAACCGGGTTTTGTCAACCAGAGAGGTTTTGCAGAGCAAAACCTCCAAGGTTAACAAAGTAAGTAAGTACATAATTAAAAACTTAAATACATAAAAAGAAATATTACAACTCTATCACTCGAGTTTCAAGAGTGTAAAAGGAATAGAAACAAGTGCCTCAAGTTACCAACTCTATAACCAAGGGTACAAGTTAATTAACCCCTGGTAGAATGAGGGTAGACAACGAGAGAGAAATGTTTTATCTTTAACCAGGCCAGGGACTAAATAATGAAAGACCCTGACCAGGCCAAAAGACTACGAGAAAGGGTTTATATAGTTACTAAAACTACAAAACCCCGAACCAGGCCAACCTCAGAAGATAAAGGTTTCCTACATGACATCATACAATATTAACCAAAGTTGGTATATAAAGAACCACGATTCTCACCGAATTAAGAAAATCATCCTTTATCACTTTTACCATTTTATAAAAACCTTTTTACTTTTGAATCAATAGTCATTATTAGAAAATCCTTTTTATCATTGAATTTCTATTACCAACTCCATTCGGCTCAAAAGCATAAATCCTTTTTTATCTTCTCTTTTCCAACTCAATCTTCCAACTTAGAAAGCGTTAGAGATCGTTTGGCGTGGTCCATTCGACTAAAGACTTTCATCTGGAAAATATCCCTTTTTGATTTACTAAATCAACGAGCACTGAAGTGCCACCTGAAGAATAGATAGTTATCTTTAACTATTTCTTTGGAAGACGTCCGGGAAGCTCAGCCTCTCGTTCAGTACCTGGCAGCGGTAATCATCCCGCACCACAGACATCTATAGTCAACAACTATAGGTTCAATTCAACTTACTAAGAACCGAAAACCAAGTCTCTAAGATAGATATCAAATCAAAATCACTAGAAACCTACATTTAGTAAGTCCTATTTTAGACTAGTTTACCGCTCAAGTTATACTCAGTCTGACAGGTTTGGTTTGAACACGGCTATTCTTTTCAATTCTTCAAACCTTTATTGTGTATGACTGGATAGGTGTGCATTGCTAGTGAAAGGGGGGATGTCAAGGTTAATTCTACTGTTTGTTTGTGTGTGTCTTTCACTAGGATACACATGTGACATGTTTGTAGTTCTACTTTAGACTTGTGCCAATGGTGGAGGAGCTATTATCACTCTTAAAGACTTGGGATCCTTAGCTAACTTTTGCCTTGCTCAACCATCTGCACACAACAATCCTGACCCTTGGTACAATAAAATTTACCATATCCATGCCCTTTACTTACCAAAACAATAGAAGATGCTCTGATTATCACTTGATGAATATGTAACAGAAAAACATCATTACTTATATTAATAACCAAAAAAAATGATTATCAAAATTACACCCTTTTGAAATTTAAATCATACTCAAAAAAATCACTCAAACTCTTTTCACTACACCACATCAAAAATTTGCAATGGAGTTTAGAAAAGTCAAAATGAAGAAAATTCTGAGCTATGCTTAAGGGGTTGGAAAAATTGGAAGATTATGGTTGAATCCACCTGTGATGTCTCCTTCTTTTGCATATTTTTTCATGTTTTACCTTTAATGTTGAAGATGTTTTGAAGAAAAATGATGTTGGGGTATATTTGGTCAGAAACCCAAACTATGTCCAAAACTACCAAGGTTTGGGCAGAAATGTTTGAATATTCACAAAGACACCAATTTTTTTCCAATCAATTTGGTAGTCACAAATCATGAAAGGCACACCCTGGATCTACAATTTTCATTTAGATGCTAAAACCATTGCGGCAAAGATTTATAAGCTTTTCTTGCTTTGCTGATGGGGACTGTGATTGCTGTCCCTTAGTCATTTTTGGAAACATACCACCCATTCCAATGTGTACATTGTAAATCAAACATTCAGCATTCATAATGCAAAGAAATTACATATGGTGAACCAAAATGGACAATTTTATTTGTCTCACAAGATTAATGACTACATAAGTGCCAGTTTTGGAAAAAAGCTGAGTTTCTGACCTGATATACACTGCTGCCATAAAAACATGAAAAAGTATTCAAAATGATAGGCACATGCAGGGGTATGCAATCCTTATTTTTTCATATTTTTCTGACCCCTTCTGCCATGTGTATAATTTTCTATGTTCTCGGTGAAAGGTCTGCTCAAGATCCAACTGAATCTTGAGACCATTTCATCTTTGAGAGCTTTATAAAATTATACTCCCTTGTGGCTTGTCTGGGTGCCAATCCATTTTATGCACTTGCACCAATGTGTTGCGCCTTGGGGAAAAAATATGTGTTCTTAAGATGTAGTAAAACAGAATCTATCCCCTGATTTCCCATAAAAACAACATGCTTTTTCAATGTATATTCAATTGCCAATGTCACAATGAAAATTCTGTTGTTCTACAAGCAATCTCATACCCCACGTGTTGTGGCAGGAAAATCAAATAGAAGTTATTTCTTTGTGGTTGGATTCCCACACACACCACAGGGGTCGTTGACACAATCTACATCACAAACGGAACAGTAATACTGCTTTTCCCACTCTGAACGACCAGGACCTACATCATCCCCACCATGTGTGACAGAACAATCTCCAACTGCTGCTGCTACCTTTTCACCTTCCAAATCTTCCATGGGTGTACCAAGGACTTGATTGAATGATACAGAGATCATGAGCACAACTGCAACAATGCTGAGATTCATGATGACAAATCTGATGTGTTGACCAAGCGTTAGCTATGGAAAGCCATGAAGAAGTTTGTAGATAAAATATCTCAAGACTCCCCAGAAAGCTATATTGATAGGTTTTGAAAAATTGTGTGGGTTTCCCGCTGATGTAGACCAATAGTATCTATGCCAATCAAATGTGTAAAGATAAGTGGCCTATATAAGCTCAATATGTCTAAAAGATATCTCCACATATCAAAAGTAGCCGGGTAGTGGACAAAAAGCACAGGGAAACATACCAGAGACAATTGTGCCCAGTATACAAACAAATCAATGAGATGCTTGGATAGTGAGCAAGTTATCAGCAAATCAGGTGCCCTTTTGTATCCATTGAATACTGGATATGCAGCTGTTTTTCTGACCCTTCCCTGGAATCAAGTCATGGAACACAATGCTGTGTTCACTCACATTGCCTTCCGCACAGCTAAAGTGAACATTGACAAGCTCTGTGTTGTGGAGAAGATAGTCGCAGCCTCATGATGCCCCTTGATACTTCTTTCTACGCTTGTATTACACAAATCAGTGTTTTGGAATTCATTTGCTTTGTCTAATAAGATGTATGATTCCCAGTGAAGTGTCACAGTGAAGCTATCACCACACTACGCCAAATCAATAATATACCATGGAGTTTAGAAAATCAAGATGTAGAAAATTCTCAGCAATGCTTGAGAGGTAGGAAAAATTTGAAAAAATTATGGTTGGATCAGTCTGTGATTTCCCATCATTTTGCATATTTTTTCATATTTTTACCTTGAGTTTTGAAGATGTTCCATAGAAAAATGATCTTGGGTGTATTTGGTCAGAAACTCAAATTTTGTCCAAAACTACCCAGGCTGGGCAGAAACTTTTCAACAATCACAAATACAAATTTTTCTTTTGATCAATTTGGCAGTTGCACATTATGAACGCCACATACTGGATCTACAGTTTTCATTTGAATGCTAAAACCCTGGCGGAACAGATTTCTAAGCTTTTCTAGCTTTGCTGTTGGGGACGGTGGTTGCTGTACCTTCTTCAATTTTGGACACACACCACCCATTCTAATGTGTATCTAATAAATCAAACATGTAGCTTTCAGAATGGGCAGACATTCCAGATTTTGACACAAATTCAACAATATTATTGGTCTCACAGGGTTAATGCCTTCATGACTGCCAGTTTTGGACATAAACTGAGTTTCTGACCTGATATACACTGCTTCTGTAAAAATCTGTAAAAATATGCAAAATAATGGGCACACACAGGGGAATGCAACCCTTATTTTTTCCATATTTTTTTGACCCCTTCTGGTTTGTGTATAATTTTCTATGTCTTTTTAGTTTTCTAAACTCAGCGGTAAATTTGCAATCTGGTGTAGTGTCTATGTATCCTCAAAAAACAAACACCCCAAAATGATGTAAATATATAAACTCAGGGCACATTCACTTAAGGAATTTCTGACCAGAAATCACATTCTGTGAATTTTTTAAATCCAAAAAAGAAACATGCTCCACCAAATAGACACATTAAATTTTGCAGAATGTGATTTTTCCCCAGAAATTGCTTTGCTTAAGGGCGCATTCACTTAAGCAATTTCTGGTGAGAAATCACATTCTGCAAAATTTAAAGTGTCTATTTGGTGGTGTATGTTTCATTTTTGCATTAAAAATTTTACAGAATGTGATTTCTGGTCAGAAATTCCTTAAGTGAACGCGCCCTAAGTGAACACGCCCTCAATCCATTCAATAAATTTTACCAAAAGTTGAAAATCATAATTCAAAATTCAAAATTCAAAACAAATTCCATAATCTACAACACACAAAAAAACCCCAAAAAACCAAAACTGTCCTTTATTTTTCAATAAGAAAACCCCCAAAAAAACCAAAAAAAAATCAATCAAATACAAAATCAGTCCATTTCCATTTTAAATCCTTAAATCTAGTGCATGATCATGATCATCATCATTAAAATTCTTATTAATTTATATCTACATATTACAATACGTATTATTTCTTTCCAATTATATATCTTTTTTTTCATTAAATATCTCTTCTTCTTAATCCAAACAATCAAATCAAACAATCAAATCCCACTAAGATGTCAAATCCAAGAAAAAATCATAAAAGTTATTTCCATTATAAAATGCCAAAAAAAAATCAAAAAATCAAAAAAAAATCAAAAAAAATCATAAATTCATTTACATATACATCTACATTTACCCAACTTCAACTTTTCCTTTTCCCAAAAGATTCATTCTTCTTATCCAAAGATTTCTTTGAATGTTCTTCTTCTTCTTGACGATTTTCTTGATGATGATGATGATGAGATGGATGATCATCATCCTCTAAATCCAATCCAAACACCTCAAGACTATCATCACTACCACTACCACTACCACCATGACCACCACCTCGATTTTCTCCCACTAATCCACTTCCACTTCCACCAATCTCTTCAATCATCTCATCATCTTCATCATCCTCTTCTTCTTCTTCTTCTTCTTCATCTTCTTCATCATCATCTTCTTCATCAATATCATCATAATCAGTCGAAACAGATGTTCGATAATGATGATTGGGATGATGTAGTTGAGAATAATCAAGATGATTAGAATGAGAAGGAGAAGAAGATTCAGAATAAGATGTACTTCCTACCAAACTACCTGGTCTAGAGTTCAAACTAACTTGATGATGAGGATGATGATGAGTAGTAGAACTAGTAGTAGGTATGACAGTAGTAGTTGGAGTAGTTTGAACGAATCCTTCATTCAGATTACTACCTTTTCTAACATGTAAACTAGGTCGATTAGCTCTTCTTTTACTCAACGAACGTGAAAGGATCGCCGCCACTCTAGCCGTCGAAGGATTCAAAGGAGATGAGATCCTAGACTCATTCATCAAATTTGACGTTCCATTCACTCCTCCTCCTCCTCCTCCCCCTACACCTCCATGACTTCCATCTTGACCAAAGAAATCCGAAAGATCATGTAAAGTTGAAACCATCTCACCAAAACTTTCATTCGTCTCTGCTAGATCAGATTGAGTTTGATGATCGATATTCGAATCGACTTCAATGCCCCATTCATATGTAAACTCAACCACCGACGATCGTTTTAAAGTTTCAAACAAAGTTTGATTCATACCAAAACTTTCAATCACTTCTACTAACCTCATCCTAGTTTCTTTCAAAGCTTCATTTCCATTGGCCACACACCATCCTGTCTCATCTGGATTCCCAAAAACCTTTTTACCTAATTGATCTTGAGTAGTTCGATGTCGATGATAATGATGATGATGATGTCCAATCCCATTAAAGTTTCCAATCAAATTCGATTTTCCTTTGATAGGGATCGGTTCAGATAAGATTTCTAAAGCTTGTAAAGATAAATTAGTTTGTAAAAGGTTTAAGACCGGTGTTAAAAGATCATAACCAAGTTCCAAGATCTCATTCGAATTTAAATCCATCAATTTAATATAAACTTTCAGTACGATCAACGTTTTGGATTTAATCCAATCTAATGGATTCAATAAGAATCCAAAATATAAAATTAATATCTCATTTCCAAACAAAGGTAAAAAATATTCTCGAATCCCATTAATGGCTTGTTTCAAAAAATCATCATTCGTTCGAAACCTTCGTTTAGCAAATGAAATCATCACTCTAGATAATCCTTCCATTCCCATTGAAGAAGTTAAATGAGCTAATCTGATCGCAATATCATCCATTTCATATTGCATGATCCCCGTTTCAAGAATATGTAAACACCAAGGTAAACAAGCTGAATAAAGTAATGCACATCCTCCATTCACCCAATCTACAATTTGACAACTCTCAGGTAACGATAAGAATTGTCGAATCAAAGACCAAGAAGATTGACAAAGTGATGAAGATCGAAGTCCTTTCATCACCACTTGTCGAATCGGTCCTCCATCCGCTAACCATCTCGTCGGTCTAGATCCTTCAATATCAAAACAATGTGAATCTTCCAATGGTTCTAAAATCGATCCAAGTAATTCGATGGCTTCTAAAAACTCTAATTCATTACACGTTTCTAAACACGAGACACCTGTCCAAAACAATTGAGCAAATGGAGTTTGATTGACGTTTTGAACTTTAACTGAGACTGATAAAGTCGTTAAAACTTCTAATGCAAACAATTGAACCTCTTGTGATGGATCTGAAGCCGTATTCGAAAGTCGAATCAATAATTCAGCCAACAAATTCGAATCCACCGGTAATCCCAAGATCCTTAAAACTTGTAATGATCTACAAGCTACATGTCTTACTGGACATTGGGTAGCCCATTCGATGGCCACTTTAGCCCATTGTTGACAAAAATCAGTGATGAAATAAGAGGTGAGTTGACTGATCTCTTCAACTAAATGTTCTAAATTTCTGGGTAAGATCTTTCGATGTCTTCTTGATGAACTAGTTTCCTCAAAATCCCAAAACGATCTCCATGCTTCTTTATCTTCTGGATTGATTAAAGGAAGTGATCGGTTGGGTGTTGTAGTACTTTGATCACATTGTTGTTGCATCCTTCTTAACATATACACATATCGTACCAAGACCTCTCGCATCTGTGCTTGTAAGGTGATATTGGTATGATCAGCTTGGACTACATAGGCATGTACCACGCTTGATAAACGATCTGCCAAGCCTAACGGTTTCAGTACCATTGCTTCACCCAACAAAAGAATCGCAGCTTGCATATGAGACATGACCGTACGAGAAGGAAGTTGAGGAAAATGAGTATCGAGATCATTGGATCGAGTGGGTAAGATCCCAGAATCGAGTGGAGCTGGATCCTGAGGAGCTAGTAATTTGGCCGGTTGTAGAGTGTTAACCAAATCTCGTGCTACCACTTCAAGTCCCGTATTCTCTGTCATCGAAGACAAGATCGTTCGAGAGAGACGAACAAATGCAGGAAGACCTCGACGTTTAGTTTCATCTAACAGAAAGGTGATGATAGCTGCAGTATTGAGAGGTGAAGCATCGGCAAATGAAAGCCAGATCGCGCTAACTGCCTCGGGTTGATGTTCAACAAATTGAGACGAAACTAGTAAGACGATACTAAGAAGGTTTTTCACTTTTGAAGAACCGATATCACAAACTGCAGGGGCGAGATTGATTTGAGCTAGCCAAGTTGGCATCAATCGTACTAGTGGTCGTGCTTTCAGAGCTTCCACTTGTAAGATCCGATTGCCTACTTCGACAATAAAGCAAGATGGATCGATCGTTTTCATATCAGAGATAGCCTTTGAAAGTAAAGTTTGAGAAACCAAGTGATGTCCTGCAAATGCACTTTGAATTCCAACTTCGATTTCTGATAGCCATTGAGGTGTGATATCAGAGAGACAACGGAATTTCAATACATCCAAAGCTCTTTGACGAGTAGTCAGTTCAGGATGTGAGATTCGAGATAAACATAATGCAAGGATAGCTTCTTCTCGAAGTCGTAAGCTTGGTTCACATATCAGCGTACTACACATGATCCCAAATAACGTCTGCTCCAAAGGCCAGCAATCAGATTCATTCCAACAAAGCGTGAGTGCATTCTCCAAAAGACCATCTGGATCGCTTGTTCTCTTACACGCCCCAACAAATGCTCGTCTGTACGTGATGTGTTTGAATAGATAACAATGAGTGGGTCAGCTAATGGATGACGTTTGCAAAGGGTGCATGGAATGCACTTACCTGGCTTCTGCATGAACTTTCGCATCATTCTTCTCAAAAAGAGCGGTGATCCATCTCAGCATACGACTAGCACTAGTCGTAGGCTCTCGACTAGTCTCAGGTCGTTGCGGGGATCCACTAGAAGACCGAAAGTCTAATGCAGTTTCCTTAAACCCAAAACCACCAACAAAAGTCAATACAAAAAAAATCCAAACTCGATGATAAATTCAGTAAAGCTTACACAAAGAGTTGCGATCATAGTCGCCGAATGCAAAAGCAATTCACCACTACCTGTTGAAGTTGAAGCCAAAGGTGACCTTCCCTTAATAGGTGGATTATTCCTACTAGTAGCCGAATTAATTCTAGAAACACGTGGATCTAAACCACTAGGGTTAGGATGATGAGTAGTACTACTACTAGAAGCTAATCTAGTACTCCAGTCTTCTGCTAAATTAAATATATCAATCACTAATTCATGATTAAAGACTTGATGAATCTTAACAGTAATTAAAGAAGTCGAGCCAGATGATGAATCATGATTGAAATCTTTTAATCCAATCTTTTTAAAAACCCTTTCACTAAAAATTAAAAATGATTTCCTAATCGAAACCGTTAAGAAATCTTCCATACTTTGTCTTGATTTTAAAAATAAACAAGTTTCTTTAATAAATCTAACTAAGATCTCAATACATCTATCTGTTGAATTGAAATCTAAATGAAATAAAAACTTGGTCGTACTTTCATGTAATTTTCCTATAGCTGAAAATAATCGTATGATCTTCACTGTCCCATTAGGTCTTGCTGATCGATCTTTTTGTGCTTCAATCATTTTACGTTCACTAGTGAGATGATGAGCAAGTCCAGAGAGGCCATCAAGAAGAGTTTCATACATTGAGACATGAATACAACTCATTGCTCTGATTGTTGCTTCTCGGAAGGTAGATTGATCTGATGTTAAGAAAGGCACGAGGGTCTTGATCAAATCTTCTCCAGGTGAGATACTTCTCTCTCGGGTTGAATTACTATGCTGTGCGATGGATGAGTTATCGATCCCAGTACTAAGATTACCCACTTTCGGATCGGCAGAGGTAGTGATACTAGTCAAGCTGATGAGAAGTGAAGACCACGAGGTGAGTAAGTTCCGGTCGTCCCATCCCGGATTGGGTCCATTTCCATTAACAGTCGATCGACCACCAACGCCAGCAGCATCAGAAGCGAGAGGATAAATTCTTTGAAGTTGACTGTATAGTAATGTTCGAGCATGTACCATAGTCTGAGGCAGATACTTTAAAGCCGTACTAAAGATGGAGGAAAGTGCGATACAAAGCAAAGTCATGTCTGCAGGATTATCACTTTCCAATAGACGGATCAGACTATCACTACTACCAGGTTTACGTTGTTTTTTCCATTTCAACAATCGAGTTTTTTCCGTACTAGGAAGATCATCAGGTAAGATAGTGTCAAACAAGTATCTTTCTGCTTCATCTAAAACATTAGCCACACTATTATTCCTCGTAAAGTTGATCGATTTCGGTGTGGTGATCAATCCAGAGTCTTGAATGATCGTACGAGCCGTCCCAGTGATCCGTAAAGCATCTAGCGCCGATTTTCGAGTAGAAGAAGATCTCGAACAAAGAAGTACTAAGCTAGTAGCTTCCATCTGAGAAACAAATTTAAGACCTTCTCCACCAAAGATCGAATTAGTTTGTTCATCATCTGTACCACTAGCCAATTTCCTAAGTCGATCACACCATGTAGACATCACTTCAACCCAAAATTTGACTAATGATTCCACTTTATTATCAGATCCTTTTTGTAATTGTGGTTTAGATCGAAAAAAGAATTCCGGTTTAGCCAAAAACCTAGTATAATTCTGTAAAACCATATACGATTTATCTGATGCTACAAATCTTCGAAGTGCCAACTTAGACGCAATTGTCACACCTACATCCAAAGAGATCAGACCGCGGAATAGAATATCGAGTGCAGCTGAATCTGCAGTAGAAGAGGTTAAGATCCTAGGCCATGCTTGTAAACAAGTTTGAAGCACATCAAAGAGCCGTTGGACATGTCTAGGATATTCTACAGCAAAATAGCCATGTCGTTTGATGACCATTGCACTATCTAAAGTTTCAGCTCTTTGAGCAATACTATCATGCCAAGGTGCAATATACCTATCATTGGTGAGGGTATAAGTAGCCAAAGTTCGATCACAATATGCAGCGATTTGAAGAACTTTAGTACCCACCGCATCAACAAAAGCTTTGATCCTAGGTCTTTCTAGAGTTTCTGGCTTCAAGGCCATCCCATCCTTACAATCCGTTTCAGGATCTTTAGGATGAAAATGATGGAGTGAATGAGATGAGGATGAATGAGATTTCGTGCCGTTCTGAGGTTCAACTACTGGGTAAAGCGGATCTTCGCCTGCTTCCAATGATGTAAGGGCTCGCAAAGTAGCAGTGATACCGATCGTGATCCGATCTGATCCAGCCTGGGCGACTAAGCCGCTCCCACTTTCTCCGGAGTCAGATGATCCCGTCAGTAGTGTTCTCAGAGTAAAATCACTACCATATTCGAGTTGCCAGTGTAAGATGTAATGGATCAATGAGGCAAACGTATCGAGCGAGACCTCGGCTGGATATACATTCTTCCGATCGGCTGGAAAGGCTGACTTGAGAATAGGTTCAAGTCGTTTGTTCAAGGCAGAAGCGCCTTCTCGAACTCGGCGAAGGTAAGCCCAGACAAGTTGGACGATTCCGAGCATCATGGTCGGACGAGTGGTTTTCTCCTTTAGCTTGCCAAAGCACCAATCAATCGTTTCTGGCCATTTTGCTAGCAGGAAATCTTGAGGGGCAGCACCGACTACAGAACAGATCAAAGGGACTGTCGCATTCCAATACCTTGCTTTGGATGGCTTATCGGACATTGAATGAGCCTTATTAAAGATGGTGACGATTGCTTTGTTCCAAACCGGATGATTAACTTCTGCAGTTGCAGACTGAACCACTTGAGCCAATAAAGGATTCAACGTCTCAGCCATTGCAGTCTTGACAAATGAACCTCTTGATCCTTCAAAGATAATAGCAAAGGCCGCAATAAATTCTGCAGTCTCTTCAAAAGCTTCTAATGGATAAACTTTTAATTTGAGATATTGAACACCTCTGATTAAGAAGCCTAGCCTGGTTTCGGAATCTTTTTGATCTTTGATCGCTGCTGCCCGGTTGGTGAGGTCTATCTCACTTGCAAACCTATCACTCACACTTGCAAATCTACATTTCCAACATCGAACAATCGTCAGTTCAATTGAATCCCTTCAAGACGGATCGAAATTGAGAAAGTACCGTATGTTGGATAGTGCCCCTAACAGCTGAGCAAACATATTCATATTGGCTTGCTTATTAGGATTTCGAGAACTAGGAGATCTTTTGATCCAACAGGGGAAAAAAAGTGAATAGAATCAGTCTTCTGAAGAATAGAAGATTGAAAAAAACAATGATTTACGTATCCGCATTCTTAATCGAATTAAAGACAATCTCTTCTATACGAGATCCCAACTCTTCACCTAAACTTTCTCTTGTCACACCTTGAACGATAGCAATCAATGCTCTACATAATAAGTAAACAAGTGCCAACTATGGATGATCTCGAGAAAATAGTTGATCATGAGCTCGATCGCCATAAGGATCTAAGAACTCCTAATTGAATGAATGAGTGAGTACTGACACCTTTTCGTTCGGCCAAGACCGCTGCAACTCGACGAGGATTGGTAGTATTATCACCACTAAATCTATTCAAAAACATGACCGATCCCAATGATCTTTATTCAACATCCTGATAATCTTTATAGAAAGAAAAAGACGAATCTCTTACATGGCACGTTGTATTGAATGTTCATCAATCCCTTCACCTTGTCTAGATTTCCATCTCATGACAAAATTAATCACTTGATTTGGATTCTTTCGAGAAACTTGAGCAAGTGAATCGAATGTTGCATCAAAACTTGGATCAACACCTTGACCAATCCAACCTGGAATATAAAAATCATCTTCATTCGCAATAGGCTATATATACAAAGTGATCAATCAAACCAATTTAGTAAGAAAGCTTTGAGGATTTTTGGGATTCTGGATTTGGTTAACTTACAATTGCTTTTCCTAAAAGTTGACCAAGTTTAATTTCACATTCTTCAAAAAATCGATCCATGATCAAGTAAATTGCAACCTTTAAAACATCGCACATCACTCAGTACAAGTCCACTGAAGGTATGTAAGCGGATGAAGAAACTGACCTCTAGTGGAGAATGAGCTTCACCATTTGAAGTGTTAGCCGAATGAGTGGTACTAGTAGTAGTGGTATCACTTCTACTTCTAGGAGATCTACCATGATGAGTAGTAGAAGTACCAGGACTGATGTTTGGAGAAAAAGGAGAAGAAAGACCGATTGAAGTATTGAGAAGATCGATTGGATTGTTATTACGATGTAATCTAGAGTTTTCAAGATGATGATTATTATTAGAAGATTTAAGTGCAACACCCGTTCTGAGACTTGCCACTGATAATTTTCTTGGTGGACCAGATCTGGTGAGTAAGTTTTGATGTAATTGAGAATTATTAGGACTTGGACTGGTTGGAGAAGCATGTAGTTGATGATGATTTAAATTGCTTTTAGTTCTGATTTCATGATCCAAGGTAGTTGAATTTAAATTAGAATTGGTAAGATGATGATGATTTGGATGATGATTGATAAGATGAAATGGTTGATGAGATTGACCACCGAATGGACGTGAAGATGATTGAAGTGGAGAAGTGAATGAGAAGAGAGTAGATTGTTGTTGTTGATGATGATGAGTTGATGAAGAACTTGAACCATCTCTTTCATGATGATCGTTAGTTGAAGGTGAGAAAGAAGAAGCACTGAATTGATTTTGTTGAGTACCAAATGAACTTGTTGGTAAGAATGGTGTATCATCATCAAAGTCAGGTATCTCGATTTGCATGATTCTGTTTGACTATCTTGAGTGATTGAGATTGATTTCTTGATTTCTATCGATCGATGGTTAGTAGCAGTGGTGGTTTGCAGTGGTTTGCAGTGGTTTGCAGTCTGAAGATGGATTCAAATCGAATTGGAAAATTACATCCTTGCTTTGACATTCTTCGTATTTCCTTCTCAACACAATACACTTTCGATCTCTGAAGCCTTTTCTCAACTCAATGTCCTGCTTCATCCGTTTCTCAATTCTTCATCATCTGAGTTTATACATCAGTACACATCATAGTCATATGTACCAAGCTCAAAGACTCAATTTACAAGCAAGACAAAAGACCAAAAGAATTTCAATCCATGATTATACTAACCCTATATAATACGACTGATGATTGGAAAAGTCTAATGACCACTCTGGAATAACTGATCATACGGAGCTCATTGAAGACCATCTTCTGAGTCAGAAACTAATGATTCAATTCCAAAAATAGAATAAATCCAATCCTCAACAAACACTTTGAACCCTGAATCAGAATAGTTATGATTCACTTCTTCCTAAACTCAAGTTAACCACACTTGATGAGATCTAAATTTAAGTTCTTGAGATCATTTATTTACACATTTGTTAAAAGTTCAAACAGTGGCAGTAACCGGTTTGATCGCATCCACCAATTATGGAAACTTTAAAATCTCTTCGTTTGACCTTTACAAATTGAAAACTCATCAGCACAGCCAACATTCAACAAAGATGTATAGAACATATTTTTGGTGTATATACACAATTGCATCGCTTTGTAAGGCTCTTTGAATGGGGTTCAGAATACTTGTGATGGGTTCTTGAAGGAATCAAATAGCCTTTGAAAAAGGAGAATATATGGAGATTTTCTTAGTTTTTATATTCATCAAAATCAAGTATGTATGTAACAAGTAGGAAAAAAACAAAAATTGTGAATCCAGTTGATATGTTTCAAAGAATCCTTTTCAAAACATTCAAAACCTCTATTCTTGTGATCAGTCTTTAATTCTATTTATTATAAGAGAATGGAAAATTGAATCACCACAAGCTTCAAAGATTTATGAAAAGACTGATTGTACTTCAAGAAATCCTATCACACTTGTGAACATCATTCAACTTCCCGGGTCCCCAACTTGGAAGAGGAAAATGATTAATAGTACAGTTTGTCATAAAAGGAGTTGTCTATCATGTACAGCCCTTTGCAGAATTGATGACTTTGGAAAAAGAGAAAACGCTTGAGTTTTCAAAAAAAACCTGCGGGTTTTTTTCAAAAACTGAGCTCTCTCTCTCTCTTTTAGAATTACTGAGCCAGGTTTCCAACAAAACTCACCGACTTTTTGAAAAACGCAGCAGCTTTTTGACAATACTCGGCCACTTTTCGAAAAAACTCGAGGTTTTTTTTTCTTCAAAGTCATCAATTATGCAAAGGGCTGTACATACAGGTCTGCTCAGTTTTTTTGCCCATTGGAATCAATAAACCACATCTTATACCACATGTAACTCTTTTGACTTTGAAGAAATCATCCCAAAGATTCACTACATATAATTCTGGAGCTGCTCAGGCAATATTGTTGAAGCTTTTTTTTAGTAACAGAAAGGGTGACACATGCAGTTGGGGTGATGAGATTACACCAAAACATTGAGTCAGTGTATGTAGTCAATCTTTTGAATGCCCTTGTCAAACTGAAAACAATTACAGCATGTATTACATCTGAATAAGTTATCTTGATGAGCAGATAACTGAGCAGAACTGTATGTACATGATAACCACTTATTCACTGAGCCTGCTACACATATGTAGTGTGGGTGTTATGGCTCAGGTGAGGAGTGAATGATGATTTTATGACAAATCATACTCCCAATCATTTTTTTCTTGCCCACTTGGGGAAGTTGAATAATGTTTGCAGTGTCATCATCCCACATCAACTTCCTCAATTACCTCATGATCACCACCAAGTTATAATACTGAAGAACCTCTAAATTATCATACAATCAATGAAGATCTTGTTATCAATTGACACCAAACCTCATATTACTATCAAAGACAGCATACTCTCATTCAACTTCAACCTTTTAGAATTGATTTGTCTTCTGATGTTGCAAATTGAACTTTGTGTCCTACTTTTCAATGAAACTTTGATCAGTTCTTTAGACCTTCAAGGTTAAATGAAGGTCTTGATTGGATTGAACAAAATCATGGTTTGATTGGGGATAAGTTTCAAGAACTCAATCATCATCAAAACCAAAACCAAATCTTGATTGAACCCCATTATTCAACTTCAACTGAAACACAACTACCAATAGATTGTACCTTATCAAACTATCATCATCATCATCATCAAATTCAGCTTCTGGAAGAAATAGACAATCATGAATGCCTGATACAATGATTCATGAACTTAAGTTGAACCCAATGGAAACTAGAAAAAAAGGGATCATGAAACTTATGAAATTGGTTTTGGGTTCTGAAGATTCTAAAAAACTGAAGAAAGATAAAATATGAAAAATAATGAAAAGGGTCAAAAAGTATCAAAATATAGAGTTCTAAACATTCATCATGATTATTGGATTTCACTTTATTTGATCTGCTTTAAAGCTTGGATTTAGAAGAGTTATTGATTTATTGTTACAAGAATTTTGGTTACATGTTTTTTATTACAGCCGTTGTAAGATCTACTGACAGATTCCTGAAAAGTTGTATTGTTGCCAGATTTAACTTTTGAAGTCAAAAACTCAAAAATCATGTCACTTTGAGAGTAACTCAATTGTTCTTGTGCTAGATCTGACCAATGGGCAGTAGAGTTATCAGTCTCAAAAGGGTTTTTTGGAGTTTTTGACCTCTACATTAAATCTGGCAACAACACAATGATCTAAAAATCTGCTGATAGATCTTACAACAGCTGTACTTGAAGTTGAGCTTGCTTACAGTTATATATAGATGTAAGTGTAAATATTTCTAGAATTAGATGGTTACTTTGAATTTCATTGAATGATACACTTATCCATAATTGATGATCTTGGTTATCCTATCTTTCAAGGAAAGTTGAACAACTCAAAGACTTCAAGAATTGGAAAGTTTTGCCTTTACCATACATACCTGAGGCTGTGAAGATCATTTATGCATGAATGAATTCTAGCTATCCTACACAGAGTCCTAGGAAATCTCTAGCTAATCAAATTTTGGCCCTGCAGTGTGGTGTGGAGGCACAAAACTCAGCTACAGTATCATGTTGTGGGTGCGTCCTTTTTCTAACGGGCACGCCCAGGCGCACAAAATCTTGATTGGACAGGCGCGGGCGCCACTAGGGCGCGTTAGGCGCGCCCTTGGCCCCCAAAAAGTAGAAAAAAAGCAAAAAAAAATCTTCTACACCAGCAGACACCATATTACAGTGCCAAAAAATACATAGTTGCAAATAAGAGGTTTCAGGTCATTGATTGGCAGGTAGATTGCAAGAGATATCACAATCAAAGGAAGTCAACTGTGATTCTATGTATACACATGAAACTCTTACAGTGACTTGCTTACATGTCTTTTGGACAAGACTCAGTCTTTAAAGTGACAACAGCTCATAGTGAGGTAGACTGTTGGACCAATATAATACCATGATGAAGTAACACTCCTCAGAGTCCTCTCCAGGCATTTCTGATGGAGATGGGTTGAAAAACTGACAAAAACCCGCGGACTAACTATGGGGCGCGCCCCTACATATTGTGAAGTTTTGGGGCGCTACCAGGCGCGACCTTTTCGCGCTTTTCGCGCTGCGCCCACAACATGACTACAGTACCTTGTAGTGTAGCGTAACTTGTCAAGCTACACTAACCTAAAGGTAAGATTCTTGTAACTGCACTCAGCTACACTACACACAAAATGCACAGTAGCGTGTTGCGATGTAGCTATGTCACCTTTGCTCTACACCACGGTTGAAACTCTTCACGAATGTGTAGGTTTGGATTTCGAAGTTAACAAAGTGCTTTGCTCCTGGCTAGGCATTGGTGAGGGAGGAGCAAGGGATTTGGTCAAGTTTTTATGAATGTTCTACATCATGTACTTTGACAAGATCTCTTCAGGGTCCTGACCGACTATTATATTTACTTAGGTTGTCGATCCAGGTTGCTTGAGCCAAAAAAATAAGTACATTCCTCAAAGTTCAAACAAACGTACCATGAGTGAGGTCAGGCTGGTCAGGTCATGATCAAAATCTGAGAATTCCTCGGACTTGGAGAACCGAGACTGAGTGATATTTGCACACTGTGCTTTCTTATCAACAAAGTCTCTCTTACGCTTAGCTTAACAAAGCCCTCTCTGCGCGGCCGCGTCCGCGCCCTCGCAGAGGGGCTTAGGACTAATCGTCGATTTTTGGCTTGAGCACTACAATCCTTAAGTGTGTCTAAGGAGTTTTTCGGATTTTCACGCTTCCCTCACAAACAAACTTCACCTGACTCCGCAGAGAAAGTTGTTCTGATAAAAATTCTACATAATCTCGTAGTCTAGCATCATGGCCAGTGTGAACGGTGTGGCCAAAAAAGGAGGTTGATGATTCTTACAACACACCTGTAGCAATGATTCAAAAATCGGGTACGGTGCAAATTCACCCTGTATGCCCCTTTACAAGTGAGACATAAGGCTTGATAACTCCCTCAAGAACAGCATGGTGGGGTAGTGTTTCTCTTGTGATAA